ATTGTGTGCAATGCTTTTGTATTTTTCCCCTTCAATTCGGAGAAACAAATATTTTTTCGGAGTAAAGGATGGCAGAAGACACTACACTACCCAGAATCCCCAGCTATCGTTTGGACTACACCATGTGCTCTGTTTTCACCATTCATCCAATGGCTGGCGTCTATGTCACGTGATCTTCAAATTTCTCCCTGCAGAAAAAAAAAACATGGCCGAACTTCGTTTTATTCTCGGTGGAAAATGCCTATTTTAAAGTTAGTTTGGCCATTAAAATGCGTTTTGATGTCATTTGATGCGAGAAATATGAGTTGTTATTTCAGATTATGTGTGCAGTGGATGTACATGATCTTTAGTTTGCTAGTTATTACGAAGATTACTTCAGGAAGTTTTCATTGTTACCAAGGTGGTTGCTAGGGACGCTGCTATCGATATTATTTCTGTTATGTTGTGTAACTGTTTAATGGTGTTATCTTTATTGCTACCCCCTTCCCCGTCAATGTATAGTGTTGGTCCACAGCACAAACATATTAGTTTAACAAAATCCGCATCTAAAGATAGCCTACGTTATTTTCCCCTGTGCAATTCCAGTCTCACATCTCACAGCACATCGTCATTAACAAATACCGGAAACAGACCGAAAACATTTAAAAAAAAATTTAAAAAACTTTATTCTGAGTGTGCTTGCTTTTCTCTTTGAAAGTCATCACATAATGGCATTGTAATTAGGGCTGTGCATCTTCACTGGTCTCACGATTCGATTCGATTATCCTGTCAACGATTCGATTCAATTCGATATCCCGATGCATCCCGATGCATCACGATTCATACCAATGCGTTGCATCCTCAATTTTCTATATTACTGCACATGGCTTATTTTTCATTAATGCATACATGCAGTAAATACATATGAACTCTCTTTTTATTATTTAGAAAGTGCTTCAGAAATCAATAACATAAATGTCTTGACATTCATTTATAAACCAAAATAAATCAATTGTATAGGTCTAGCCTCTCTATATCTGTGTGTGAAGTTGTTCCATCCTCAAAAACAAAAAAAATAATGCTTCTGCAGTCTAGCTGCAGCTTCTAGCAACGGCCTTCTGTTAAAAAAGGACACTGAATGTCCTGAATGTGGCATCACACACAGGACTTGAGTCTGAACACAGCAGACAACAGGAGTATTTACAACAGCATATAACAACTAAAATACTGCATGTGGGTGCACACTTACATTCTCTGTCTTACTGTTACATAAATCCCATGAATGTAGGAGATTAAGTTAGCTTCATTATATCTCAGTGATTAAGTGAATAATAAAGTTTCTATCGGGTCACTATCAGCCTGTCACTCATTATTTTCAGGGGGGGCGGGGCTTAGAGGAACAGAGGAGACGGTGATCGCGGAAGCTTTTTTCCTCCTGCCTTCACAAACTTTACACACGTACGTATATATCGTCTGAAAATTGCTAGAGGACATTCATACTTTGCAATCCAAGACTTAATTAAATCCACCAAAAACCTGACATGATTGTAACGCGATTATTTTTGAAAAACATAAATCCCTGTCTCTCTGTGCCGCAGCGACACGGAGTGATTCAGAGCGGGTCCTTCAGGCTGTTGGTTCTGGACTGGTGTTCTTGTGTTGGTGGATAAAGCAGACTGCTCCGTGTTTGGTGTTGCTGTACCGCTGTCACGTCTGTTCCCTGATCTCTGCGTCACCGACCGATTTGATATTAAAGTGACAAAAAGTAAAGCCGCGGCCGGAAAATCAGGAAGCAACGTTACTACGCTATAACCGATTATCTTCCGTCACTGCATCGAGACCGAATCGTCCACGTCCGCATCGCAATGCATCGTAGAAACGATTATTTTCAACACCCCTAATTGTAATACACGGTTCGGCTGCATTAAATATGACATATCTGCCGTAGTTCTGTATTTATAGAGCCCTGATGAGAAGACTTCTAGACAAACATGAGGAACTGAAAACGTGACGTGGATCATAAATATATCAGCCATTAAACAACATCTTACATTTATTTTTCACACAATACGTCTCCTTGCAGTATCAACACTAATTCGGCTGACTTTTATATTTGATCCAATTGGTAGATAGGCTGTATTTACACCATAAATGTGCACAGCTGATATAAAGGGACACCTAGTGGTTAAAGCATGTTATTGAATTTCATTATTTTTATTATTAGATATGAATAGGATCCCTATAAAGTATATTCATTACTCGTTATTCTCTACTAATAGTTAATTAAAGACTGTATATAATGACTATTTTGCACATCCCTTTCAAGATTTCAAGATTTTCTAAGGTTTATTGACATATCATATAGGCCCACACAACTATGGTGTAGTTATGCATTGAATGAAAAACTTGGGTCGCAGGTTCCTCAATAGTGCATTACAAGACATCTATCAATATTTGTGCATACCTCCAGCAATGTTAACTATGTTGAAGCACTTATTTTAACTGATATTATACATAATGTATTATACTCTTATAAGATGTATGTAGATATTTCATCGCCGGCCTTGTCAGGTATTGAACAATCAATAAATAAAGAACACAGAATTGTTAAATATAAAACACAGAATTTGTGTGATTATACTAAATGATTTACAAATAAACACCACTGCATACAACTGTTACACATGCTGATGTAACGCAAATGTTCCAACTTGGGATCAACAAAGTATATCTTATCTTAAGCTGATCGATGGCTACTGCCATATTTGCATAATTTGCCTCTGAACCTTGACAAGTGCATGTTTCAGGCTTATCAATTAATGTAATGTAATGTAATGTTATCAATTAACAACAGGGGTCACAAACATAAGACCAGCTGTTAAATAAAGCTCTTCTGACCTTAGCTGGCATGTGTGTATATATATTAATGCTGCCCATTATGGGCACAAGCAATTTTCACCCATTTATTAATTATATGTTTTAAATTTGAGTGTTTTCTACCCCCTAAACCTCCAGGGATGTACACAGTTTAATACTGGCAACTTCTTATTATGGGAAATACGAAAACGTCTTTTAAAACTACAACTCCCAGTAGAGACGTGCCATAGATAGAGAACATGTTGCGAAACAGAATAGCCAGCATGTGTAGTTCTGGGGACGGGGGGAGGGGGGGACACGGTGGACCCGTTCAAATCCAGTTTTGGACAGTCTGCCGTGGTTCCATCCCATTTCAAGTGCTGTTCGAGGCTCGGCGTAACCCTCGGAGCACACTCTCCAATCACAGAGCTTGAGGACTATCACGGGGTTTGTCAAACAGAGCACATGGTGTAGTCCTAAACCAGGGGTGCCCAACCAGTCGATCGCGATCGACCGGTCGATCGTGGGGAGATTCCCAGTCGATCGCGGGGAGATTCCCAGTCGATCGCGAGATGTGTCTAAAAATAGAACAACAATATTCAGTTTTATCGTTAATGTCCTATAACATAATCTTCCTGTGGCAGAATAATGCACTTGAACGCATCAACGTTTTGTGATTGGCCGGCGTGACCCCATGTGTCGGGGCGTGGCTTGTGAGCAGTGGGCAGTGCACTCGTTCGCTAACGTTGTCCGAGTGACAGTCCGCACACACACACAAGACCGCAATTATGGCAGAAGCAAAACATATATAATTTTCACTCCGAGTGGGAGGATGATTATTTTTGTATCTATTCCAATTCAAAGTCCATCTGTCTCATCTGCAATGCGAGCGTGGCTTTATCGAAGAAGGGTAATTTAGGAGCGGCATTTCAAAACAGTGCACAAACGCTACGAGACGGAATTCCCTCCTAATTCTGCCCTACGCTCCCAAAAGGGGAGGGGCCTGAGAGGACAGCTAAATGCACAGCAGTCCATTTCCACCAGGCCCAACAACAAGAGCAAGGCTGCTACCAGAGCACCTTATAGTGTCAGTCACGTTCTTGCGAAACACATGAAGTCTTTCAAAGACGGCGAAGTTGTGAAAGAAGCATTCCTGGAGGCTGCCGATGCGTAATAAAAATAACAGTAGCATTTCAACAGGTTTTTGATAAAAACTCACGTTAGATACCGTTATTAATCAGCTGTAAGTTTGAGTTTGTTTGAACTTATTAATTATAATTATTGTACAAAATGGTATAAGAATGCAAACTTAAATTGATTATAGTCTATTATCAATTCAGGTTAAGAAACTAGTGTTGCTTGCATCCTATTTTAAAGGCATTTATTTTTATAATCTACTAAAATGCAACAAAAAAAAGGGTTTGATTCTATTAATTTTGTCTTTTTTATTGCACTTTGGCAGCAGATTCCTGTGTAGCTTCAGATCTGAGTTGTCTTATTAGTAAGCCTAATTTATACTTTTGTAGCAACACTATTTTTTATATAATGGCAAAGAAAGGGTTCAGAGTCTTTTCTTTTTTCCCTGTGTCATATGTGGCAGCACTGTTCAATGTTTTTTGAAAACATTACCCACTGTAGTATGTGACGTCTGAATAAACTCCAACTCTGTATCAACAACACTGTTGTGTAACTTCAGTTAAATACTTGTATGTGTGTAGAAAATTAGAAAGAGGTAAGATAAAGGATCTGCAGTATTTGATGAAGTGTTAATCGTACAAAGGTCAGTTTTATACAAGTAGAAGTGTGTATTTACCTGGTAGTAGGCTGTCAGTAATGGCTACGCCCGTCTATTTGGACTGGTAGATCTCGGCAGACTGGCAACTTTAAAAGTAGCTCTCGGTTAAAAAAAGGTAGGGCACCCCTGCTCTAGCAGGTAAAAGAGGTAACTGGCTATTCAAGTATTTTATTTCACCAAGTAAAAAAGAGACACGTCAAAGGAAGGGCTTGAGATTGGCGACGACTAAAGATGTTGACAGTTTTTACACTAAAAAGGAATAGCATTGTGTTAGGTAGGTTAGCAAAAAGATCAGAAACAGCTAACCTGGCTAGCTAGCTCACTTTTAGCATGTCTAGTGTTTCAGTGGAAAAAATAGAATCGCAAAAAGTCGTGGACATTTTTTTTATTATTCACACTGGAATGGATATTTCATTAAAAAAAATTCAACAGCTATATATACAAACTTAAATTTCATTCCTCTGCTGAATTATTGTGAACACACACACACAAACAGTACATTAGACTACTTAAACTAATGCTACACATTGCTAAACCCCCTAAAAGCGCCATTATCAAGCCGTTAATCTTCTACTATATACTAATACACAGCTCTTGTGCTCATATCCAGGTAAGACCCCTGGGGGTGGGCGTGGACATGCTGGTGTTGTCTGTACAGATGCCTGAACGGGAGTGAAAGGGATGGGTGGGGGTCCTGACAGAGCCGAAGAGGGTATGACGGGAAGGCAGAATAGAGCGACTGGGGAGGATTGGAGGAGGGGAGATTGGAGGGAAGTGATGGATCCAGCTGAGGCAGGAGAGATGGGTGGTGCCGTACCATCTCCGGGCGATAGTGGGCGGCAGGATTGAATTGTGGGATACCACTAATATCAACTTGAGGGTACGAGGAGTTGGAGGGATTGGCCAGGTTTTGAGGATAGGCTGTTGGTGGCATTGAAGGAGCTGAAGAGACAGACTGCTGGAAAGAAGAGGGCACAGCCAAGCATGAGGAAGGCTGGAAGGAAGGGTAGGGGTGAGGGTGAGGGAGGGATGACGGATGAGGGAAGGATGAGGGAGGGAAGGCTTGGGTTTGGTGGCTAAGATTTTGGAAGTTAAAGGCATGATGGGAAGGGTTGGAAGACATGTTTGGAAATGATTGCATGTGTGGCGAGACAGAGGGGAAGGGGAAAGATGTACCATGAGTGGGAAGGGAGCATGGGAGACTGGGGGCTAATGGGAGGTTGTAGTTGGAGAGAGCGGTAACTGGAGCAGGATTTACAGGAAGGTTATTTGGATAGATAAACACCGCTGACGTTTGATCAATGGGAGAATTACTTGCACTGGAGATTGAATCTCCCTGCAGAGGCTGGTCATTGAGCAGAGAATGAGCTGATATTTGATCCTGCAGACCTGACTGACAAGGGGGCGCATGAAAGGAGGCGTCTGCAGGTGTGTGTGGGCTGATTGTCTCAGGCATGGTGTGATAGGAGGGAGAGGAGGAAAGGAGTGGCTGCGGTGAGGAGGAGTTAGAAGGAGGCGGCGTGGGGAAGGTGAAGGTGGTCTGCTGCAGCAAGGGAGTGTTGGAGGAGGAGGAGAGTGTAGGGGATGAGGAGAGGATGGGGGTGTAGTCGATAGTCTGAGGATTGGATGTATCTGATGAGTCAGGAACAGGGAGGAAGGAGGACTGAGGAAGAGGTGCTAAAGGGAAAGAGGAGTTGGCCTGAACAGCAGGGAAGTTGGAGGTGTAAGCCTGTGTGTCTGATCTGTAGAGGAGAATAAAAACATATATTAGAAATAACAAGATTTGTTGCAATATTAGTAACATTTAATCAAATGTTTGTTAATCAAATGTAATCAAACAGAGAAAGTAAGAACCAAGTTATTAAATAGAACTTACATTTAATGTGTTTGAGATGCTGTTTCAAGCATCTCAAACATGGAGATGTTCTGCATTGAAAATCATATTTATCTCAATATAATTGAAAAACAAGACAATTTAAGACCCTGGAATTTGAGAAATTGATCTGCATATGAACCGATGATGGACATATTTCTAAAATGCAACGCTACACAAGAACACATCCCTCTGTCTCTCTGTACACCTACCCTTCAATCAAATTCGCCACCTCACTCCCCGGCATGTCCTGCATCCCGTTGGCCATGGAGATGCCGATATCGGACATGTGCGAGGCAATAAATGCCTGGTCGAGATCTAGCGGCTGCTCCTGGATCAGTGAGGCTTGATAGGGGGCTTCCTCTGGTCTGAACCCACAGGAGGGGTTGGGCATGGGGGGCAGAGAGGCCAGAGCGAGGGCCTGCAGGTCTGTGGCCGAGGTCATTTGCTGTGGCTGAAGGTCAGTAGAGTCGCATGGATCACAGTTCACTAATGGAGGCAAAATAAAGTAGTTTATTAGTATAAAGCAATCCATGGCATTGTAAGTATAGTCATATTAGAATAATAAGCAAATGAATCATTAAGGTTTCTTACCAATATCCAAGGTTTCTGTCCCGTCACATATTTTGCGCTTCTGTCTTGCGTCTCTTTGTCTGCATGAAGGGAAAAATTAGTTTAGATCCTCAACATCATGTATGCAAAGGTGTGATCTATGTTTCTATTTGCTGTGAATTACTTTTTGCTGTTCATGCCATCCTCTCGGAAGCCTTTAGCGAAGGGGTTGGAGTTGATCTTCAGCTCTGTGATCTGAAAACAACAAAAAATAAAGCAGTTGGTTTACCTTCCCTGGACTTCTGCTTTTGGTTCTTTGTTTCTTTTGCGTTTAATCTTTTATTTTGCTCTGATGAATATTGTTGCTTAAGATATTGGCGCATATAAATCCTTCTTAATCTTGGACTGCACTCTTTGCAACTCATATTCTCCCCTTTCCTTTATATAAATGTAGTATAATGGTACCTTGTTGTTCTGGTAGGCGGTGACTGTGAGAAACTGGGTCTCAGGGAAAATGAAGGAGTGCTGCCCTCCGCCCCACCTCAGCACGTCTCTGGCTTCAATCACATGAATCCTGGGTTGGTAGCGATGCAGCGAGTGCAGGATAATCTGGAAATAGAAGAAAGGAAATTGACTCAAAATGCACCATAAAGACAAACCTACCCTTAAAGATCGGGTGGTGTGTTTTTGTGTGTGCAGTCTTTGGTACGCACGTGTCCCTGGGAGTCCAGTGTGTTGTTGGTGAGCTTGGCGTGGTGAAAGGAGATGGTGCGGCTCTGCCAGTGAGCGCCTGTGGCAGGTGAGTCCGGGTGGATGAAGACCCGGTCCGGCAGCCTGGCCTCGGCCCCGCCAACAGCCTGCCAGGCTCCACCCTGGAAGCGATAGCGGGAGTTGTCCAATGGGACGATGTCCAGGAGGACGAGGTAGCGGAGAGATGGGTTCAGGCCAGAGAGCTTTAACCTCAGCCCGGGGAACATCCGTCTAAGAGAAGGGGGGGCAAAGATTTAAGATTTAAGAAACAGTCAGATTGGAGAATTCAAAAGAGTCAAAGTAAAGACAAAGGAGGAGGAGTCATAGATTGATGTTCTCTCACCTGCCCTTCTTGGTGATGATCATCTCTGTGCCAACTGTGGTGAACTGTTTCCATAGAGAGGCGTTCTCCAGCTCCATCTTCACCTGATCTTTTGGGGTTTTGGTGGTAGGGTCATTCGGGGGAGGGGGCAGCATCCTTTGGGGCAGGGCTTTTGCCGCCATGTCACAGGCGGCGGGAGGAAACATCGGCATGTGAGCTGGAGCCGGCAGATCTGTGGAAACACATAAATCCAGGAAAAAAACATTTAGATAAATGGTTGAAATAAAGCAAATATGCGTGCAAATGTTTGTCGTGTACCTTTACGTTTGATCATTTGTACAATAGTCTTGGAAATTGAAATATAAAAGGTAGCAGAATACTATTTAATGTGTTTAAAGTGAATTAATAGACGAATGTAACTTTTTTAATTATTTTATTCAAGCAATGTAACTTATTCAATTTGATCATCTGTTATCTAACACATGTTTTAAACAGCCTCAACAGTGATGATTCTCAAACTTGTATTGAAGATTATTCAAGATAACTGAAAAAGATCAAGATGAAGAAACATTTACGCTGTAACTGATTAAAATGTAAAGAAAATTGTAATTGAACTGTGTAACATTTTTATTTGTAACACATTATAAACACATTAGTCAATTCCTTGAAACCACATATTTATTAGATTGACTATGTTCCCTATTTCCTCAATGTCACACCTGAATAAGCTTGATTTAGCGCTCATTTAGTTTGACGGAAAGTATTCAAAAAGTGAAATGTCCATTCTCCTTTTGCCTTACACACACAAACACACACTCTTCCTCACCTCTGTAAAAGCAGTCTCCGATCCTCTGAGGTCCCAGAGTCAAACTGGGGTACATCTCCATGCTCAGCATCTTCCTCGTCTGTGTGTTTGTCTCTTTACTCGTCCTCTTCAGCTGCTTCAAAGTAACATTTCCCTCTTCAGCTCCTGCTGACTCCTTCTCTGTTCCCTTGGGGTCAATCTCCTCTTGTACTGGAAACCTCTTCTTAGTTATGTTCTTCAGATCGGTTCCTATCCCTCTGCTTCCTTTGCTTCTAATGCCCGCAGTGGTGTCTTGCTCTGTTAAATAGGTGTGTGGAGCTTCACACTTGAGGCCAAATGGCTCTTCTTCTGCCTCCCTGTCTCTCTCCACACTTCACCCTCATCTTGCCTTCTGTCCCTGCTCCACAAACACAAACAACCCGGTCATATAGAGAGGTGATTCGCAACATCTAGGGTTTACTTTAGTGTCTGGAGGAACATTTATGTGATGTGTGTTATTGCGTGTCACTAGAGGTATGATAAATACCTAAACTTAAATAGTGTTTTGAGTTATTTGTATTTTTGAGGGCTTTATAAATATGTTTCACTACATTTCAGATTCAAATATTGTGCAATTTACTTCACTATGACTCTTTTACTGCTGTAGATACTTTGCATTGAAGCATTTTACAACAAGAAGGAAACAAAAGTAGTTCTGCATCTGCATCGTTAAAATATGGCTACTACGTTTATGTTATACAAAAATAAATAACTTATTATATGTCATTTTTTATACTTTTAAATGTTTACATTTTAAATGTGTTTTTTCCTATATTTCTGTACTTTTAGAGGACTTTGACCGGAGTATTTTTACTTTGTGATGTTGATGTTCTACTTTAAAAGGGAGCTGAAGACTTCCACCACTGCATGTCATGAACAACTGGCTCTGATTAATCTGTTATACATATAGCAAATGTTTCAATATAGATAGATAGATATATACTTAATCCCAATTTGGGAAATGATTTTGTTACAGAAGCAGTGTGTTCAATACATTTAAATATAAATACTATGCTTTAAGTCATTAATTCAGCATTGAATAGGTACAGTACATGTGTGTATATATGTGTTCATGTGATATCAAAACAGACAACTGCAATTTGTAGTCTTACTTTTAAGTTTGTCTGTAATAATTATTCGAAATGCTGCCTACTTTAAATGCCTTTTTTAGGTGTACACATAAATCTGCTTCACTGCAGCCCCCCTGTGGCTGTTTGATGGCTTGGTGACATGTTTCTTCCTCTCAGCACTCTGCCTGTTAGTTCTTCTCAGCAGGGAGTCGGGCTTGAATGAAGGTGGAAGAGGAAGACAGTTTGGCCGACGGCTGCAATTTGTCCCCAACAAAAACACGAGTGTGTAGAAGTTTATATGAATACGTTTGAATTCAGGTAAGAGCATGGTATTACAGCTGATTCTGCGAAAGCATTTCTTGGAGTATTCAAATTATAACTGTGTCCAAATTGATTCAAGTGCAAAATATGCTGCCACATAACAGAAAAGTTGGTGTGCAGACAGGGTTTCAGGTGAAGGAGACAATGCGGACCACACAGACAAACCTCTGTTGGTACCAGGCAGTACATTAGTTTGTTGTGTAGGATATTTAGATCCTTCACTTGCAAATGCAGTGATACCACAATGTAAGATTACTCGACTGCAAGGCCAAAAAGGCCAAAACCGTTTTTAATTTTTGAGATGTTTAACTGTTTTGCTATCGTACCATGTTGTCTTTCAGACTAGTTGAAAGAAAACATCCTATATACACATTTAAGTGTTTATTGAACTACAATTTGTCTATTTGTGTCCGTAGATATCTCATAAATTCACTAAACGTTGGCCTTAGATAATACTTCATTTGGATTATTCAAACCTAAACCTTCAGGAAACTTCAAAGGTACTTTTTTTTCAAATTAAATGTCATTGGGTAGAGAAACATTAAATGAAATCTCTAAAATTACAGTGCACCTGTGTGGCTTTAGAAGTACACCATTGTATGTATTGAAACCTGTTAGTAGAGTAGGATTTGAGATGTCTCCAGCTAAATGAAATAGTAGGCTGCTTTTTACCTGCCAAAAAACTTAAAGCTCGGTTGGATGCTACTCAATCGGAAGCTATTGGTTGGATGCTACTCAATCGGAAGCTATTGGTACCTGTTTATGTGGATAATTATGTAAATGATGCTGTATGATGTCCTTTTGTTGTTCTATTTATGTTTTTATGTGTCATGTGGAACTACTTGAGCAGGTCTCCCTTGAAAAAGAGATCAATGATCTCAATGGGATTTATCTGTATAAATAAAGGTTTGAAATTAAATGAAAGTCCTTAAAGAAACATAGATCACAACAAATCTTCCTCAGAGACTTGATTATGCAAGGACTGACAGAGAGGCTTTTTTGAGAACTCTAGGAACAGATCATAGAGGCTTTTAAATAAAGGATTCATCTGAACTACTTGGAAAAGCAAGAAAATCTTCTTTAAAAGCTTTGAGGAGCAAATCTACCTGCTCATAGACAACTTTAAAGAGTGACAGCTGGAGACCGTTTCCAGGAGTGAAGTATAAATGTTGTTGTAGTTGTTGTTTTCCTTCTCCATTTGTGTCTGTGTGTGTGTTGGAGGGGATAAAAGCTAGAAGGGGAAGTGGAGGTGTGAACGCCACACTGAGAGAAAGGTCATTACCTTGATGAGGGCAGCGAGATGTGTGTGACGTCTCTTAATGTTTTTACGAACTAACAGGTGTGTCAGCCACCAGACTCTGTTACAAGCCATGATGAGGATTGTTAGTTGTTTTGTTTTTGTACCATTACTGGATTGGGGGGCAGGTGGTGTGTGCTGTTGACAGTGCATTAAGGATTACCATAGGCCTGCTCCCGACATGTATGTGCTAAGTGGTTTGATATCCACCTTTGTTTGCTCACTGAGGCCTAAAGGTCAGGTCAGGAAGAAAGGACACTATCAAAGGCATTCGTTTTGAAATGTTCATTGCTGGCTCAGATGTTCCTGCTGTTCGAACACTTCCTTCATGACAGGGGGTTGTCCTCGAGCATGTTTACAATGGAGCAACAAGCATTGTAATCTGACGAGGATTAGTGTTGCTCTGTGCACGATGCACACACACTGTTGCTTTTAGGGGAAGTCTGTGGCCGTCTCTCCACAACAAAGAGGGATTTTTGATGTCACAGATTATTGGGATTGAAACATACTGTGTTGTCCATAAATAAATCCTCTGCATGCAGAAAACACGTTGTCAGATTACACGCTTTATCTGCTTTCACTGCATATTTTGTCTCATCCAACAGGCAAGAACCCATTTTTATTAAGATTGTGCCAGAAATAAGCACTTTTCATTAAGACAAGAGGCACAGAAGACATGTATTACTCTTTAGATAGCTTAGATGTTGCTTGACAAAGAGTTTGCATGGAAAATATATATTTAATGCAGTCATTTCACACACACCTATTTGAATCTCACAAATAGAAAAAGATAGGAAATTATTCTAAATGAAGTATTGTGGTGTTGCAGAGAAGTCTAGCATTACAAACGGTATTCTACAGAATTAATCAAAAATAAAATGGTTGGTACAGATCCTATATTGTACTATTATCATAGTAGTATTGAATTACTATTATCTAATATTGTCAATCATACCGTAATATCAGTCACTATAATCGTTTTTTATTTTTGAAATCGTGCAGCCTGAGAAGGTGATTTGGTAATATCTTTTATTTTATCCGATCAAAACAGTGAACATGTATCCGACAGACAACAAGTGTAGCTCCCCGTTGGTCAGACCACCTCCAGAGGGTCTCTGTCTGTCTTGGACACCGCCACAGTCACACTGTCAGGAAGACGCACAGCCAGCTTCTCCCTGAACACCGCCAGGAAACCCCGCTCACTGTTGCTATGGTCACTAAGGATGACGTTAGTCCCCATCGCCACGGCGTCCAGAACCTCGTGGTGGGACATCTCACCTGTATGATCATTACATCAGCAGGCGTAATCAAGCCAATACATTGACAGTAAAACTGATCAGTTATAAACCATTTTTTTTATGACATTGAAATTATATTTTTATTTAAATGTACCTGTGATGTAGAGGTCTGCCTTGACTCCGCCCAGTACTGAGGCTCCAGATCCAGCACACACAGCCACGGTACCCACAGAGGACTCTGAAACATACCATAATACAATTCAAGGACACGTTTAGGGTTTTATTCAATGTGTGAGCTTTTAAACCCCAAAGAAGCCAAGTCCAGGCTGATATCATCTCTGGCAGAGCTTATTATGATATTCCAAAATCAGGCTTTAGACTTAAAAAAAGAGAAACTGCAGACCATTCAGAACAACTACAGCTCCCAGGCTCTCCTAATGGGTGGGTGTTCAACATACTTTACATTGTTTACGTGTTTATCCAACTAATAACACCAGCACAATAACCTCCTGTCTTTCTGAGAGGTATTTACCTAGTGTCTGTCCTGATCCCAGAGCCAAACGGAGGTGACTCAAACCCAGGTGGGACTTCATTTTCTGGATGGCTGTTGAAACGGTCACCGGCTCGTCCAAAACACTAAGTCGTCCTTGGCCGTGACCCGGGAGAGGAGGCTGCAGGGAGTGGAAGGTGAACAAGAAATAAACACTATGCATGTATATCACATCATAAGTATATAACTATCCACAACTATTTTGTGAAATAATCAAGATAGAGCTTTGTTTCCATCCTAAAGTAGTATTTTTTCTATCCTGATTGGTTTATACTGAATAAAAGTAATGTTTTCTTGGTTTATCGTGTGTGTGTGTGTGTGTGTGTGTGTGTGTGTGTGTGTGTGTGTGTGTGTGTGTGTGTGTGTGTGTGTGTGTGTGTGTGTGTGTGTGTTCTGTACCTTTTCTAACTTGAGGATGCTGAAGGACAGGCTGGTAGCATTGTGTCGTAACAGAGTCTGGACACTAGGGGTCAGCGCTGAGTCACTGCAGGTCACACTCACATGGATCCAGCTGTTGTCTGGTCTGTTAATAGTGAGGACAAACAACCTGTCATTCACCAAAAGGACTTATAGGTTTTGCATGTTTAAACCTATTACTTTCAAAAAAATGTATACCTCAAATTGCCCCTGACTATGTTCTTATCAACATAAGCTTCTGTTCTTTTTACTATTGTGTGAAACTCCCAATCAGCTGGACAAAATCAATCAAACAGAGTGCTTCCTTTATAGCCTTTACTTTGATGTAGAAGTTATGTAACCAGCTTTTGGTAAAGGCACTGGCTGTATGTCGGAGAAGATAAAGGCAGATCTTACGCTATCAACAAAAGCTTTTATAATAGTACAAAAATACTCCTTTGTTTTTTTTTAGTAGATAATCTGCTTCCTGTTTAGAAAGGCATGCCCAGTCTACATGATTGGTTATGTGTAATACTTTTTTCAGCGCGTTAGTATCGATAGGGTTCATTTCTGAAACGGTGCTAAAATGCCTGGGTGAACGTAGATTGTTTTTTAAAAAACGTATCAAAGGTGTGAAAGTCATCTCTACAACTGCATTGGATTCACAAGAGGCTTTGATATCAAACCCAGAACAATATACAAGTCTTTATACAGACATTTTGGTTAAAAGTGAAAACGTGCAAAACTAGAAAGATGGTCCTTAATTAAAGGATAATTTCACACAAAAAAAATGTAATTTCTTTAACAATTACCAACCCCATGTAAAAATCTTTGCTTTTCTCACATGCCTGAACAGTGAGACTTTCTGTTTTTTGATTCTTTGTTCGCTGTCTGATCCATGTGAGAAAAAGATATACAACTGATAATTTTAGTGGTGAAGTATTCCTTTGAAGTGAGTATGTGAGGTGCTTATTTAGTTATTTATACACTTTTCTTTGGTCTATGCAAACATGTACATGACCTGCCGGCTGAATGCTGTAGAGTTGTGTCACTGTCACAAGCCTTCAGTTCCTCCATCACAGCGTTTAGTTCCTCTGTGCTCTTGACTGTGAACTCCAGTTTGTGGCTGTGGGAGGCGGCTGCGTGGGCCTGACTCAGCACGGACACCTGGCCGCTACCTGAGAGGCAAAGAGGGCGGAATAAGACACCCAGGGTGACAAGATGAGGGTCAGACGAGTGGGTCAGTGTAAGGTGTCACAACATTTTAGCCTATGCCTTCATTAAATATGCAAGTGTGACACATTTTCAACTCAAAATGACATATTACCCAATCCCCCAGCCAGCCAGTCGTTCACTCCTCCTTTAACGCTGTCCCACGAAGTGTGAGGGGAGAAGATCGCCATCCTGGCCTCCACAGCCCGGATGGTCAATCGCTGCTTCCAATCTTTCTGAACCAGACGCTTGAAAGGCCGAAACAACGGGGGGTGATATGAGATGATGAGGTCACAGCTCATGGCCTCGGCTTCATCCATGACAGCTTCTGTGAGGTCGTTAGTCAGCAGGATGGTTTTAACAGGCCGGGGTTTGCTGGGCTCCACCAGGAGACCCACATTGTCCCAGGACTCGGCCAGAGACAGAGGAGCGAGCTGCTCCAACACCTGCAGGACCTCTTTCAGCTCCATCAGGCCGGGACAGGGAGCAGAAAGAGAGAGGCAGCGGGTGGAAGGGAAGTGAGGAGATAAGGGGGGGACTGAAGTGTGTTGGCTAAAGAAGCTGTGACTGTGAGTTGGTGGAGGGAGAGATGAAAATGGAGAGATCCTGGTACAAAGTCTTCTATAGGTGAGTGACAACAATCTACAAGAAGGGCTTCTACATCCAGTCAACATCAGTGGAGACCTGTGTGGACAGAAAACAACGAATATAAGTCCTAGCTAAGTAAATAAGAGTTTAGTTAGCAACAATTATAATGCTAGTCCAATATCTAAAATAATGACAAAGAGTATGACGATTACCTGGCATGCAACCCAAACTTTAGGGTTGTTTTATATGAATAAAGTGCAGTGCCGCTACTTCAAACCTTATTTATGGATCTAACATGACCTATGAGTGGCACTGACTGCTGGGGAAGCATGCAGCTAACAGCAGGGCTAGCTAGTAAGCTAACATTAGCAACTAATACACACTCAGTCCACACCGATATAAGTAAAAACACACTAGAAACATAACTTTGTGTAAGAGTGAACTTATCGTACTTTCGCTTGCCTTTCACTCTATCGCCAGGAGACTAGTAGCGCTCTCTTGTTGCACACATTTCTCCAGAAGTGACAGAGAGCGAAGCAGAATGTCCATGTCCGGCTTCCGTTTGTTAAAGTGACGGGCGCTTGATGATTTACAAGTAGCTAAATATGTAATTGCAGTACTGCTGGTGGAAAAACGATTTAAATGGCTCTGTTCTAGTTATGTCACAGTGTAAACAATAATTCACATGGTGGATAAATTAGGAATTTAAAATGTCAGTAACTCCCCTGGCTTTCACCTAAATAAAACGTTCACTCAAAGAGACACACTACATCTACAAAGACAACAAAACCACTTTGATATCATACAAAATAACTGCAAAGAGACACATAACCTACTCACAGAGATGTGTAACGACTAAAAAGAGAGACTAAACAACTATACAGTCTGTGTGTCTTTCTGCTTTTTAGGAAAGATACATCATTGTATCTCAGTTCCTATGGTGCTTTGTCTAATAATCCAAATGTTGTAGCAATGTTACTGTTTTATATCTTTTGTAAGATGTGATTCCATTTTCGTAGAACAATTTTCAGAGTGATTTATGTGAGTTTCCAAATTGTAATGTAGCGGAGAGTAGGGATTGACAAAGCTAAAAGCTTTGGACCCCTGACCAAAGGAGGAAGGCCGTCCCTGGCCAATTTGGAGCACCGACAGGAGTGGAAAAAAAATGTTTGGAAACAAAGTCATTTGCAAATATAATTCCTGTTTAATATTATTATTATTATCAACAGTTACTTTTTTATACAGTGAGGCAAATGGTAGATGCGCATGTATGTCGTTCAGTATGCGTTTACAGGTGAATACGTCTGCATTTCCTGCCAAATACTAGCCTCAAAAAGATTCAAATATAATTAATGCAAATAAACTACTTCTACTAATAATAATAATAATCATAATCAATACAATAATATAAATACTATATTATTTTATTATAATATAGTTGTAATATAGTCAAGACAAAACATGCTGCGCTGAGAACTGCGCTGAGAGCTGCGCACAAGCCGAGGCCCCCTGCGCAATGTGAGGCCCCGTGCAGCCTGCATGATCGGCCTGTAGGGAGGGACGGCCCTGGGAGGAAGTACCCAGTCTTGTGCTTGAGTAGAATTACCAGAGTGTAAGAATACTCTGTTACAAGTAAAAGTCCTGCATTCAAAATGTTATTCAAGTAAAACCTTGGCCCCTGACTTTAACTAAAAATAAAATGTTACATTTTGTAAATAGAACATGAGAGGATTGTTTGAATCTGATCAATCTGAATTCTTCGCTGAACTCTTTTGGGTCAGTAATGCACACAAACACAACAAATCAGTCCGTCATAGTCCGTTATATCTTTAACATTTCTAAAAAACTTCCGACAATTGCTTGTTTCTTGTTTTGTAAATTGGTTCAGCTCAAAAACATGTTAAAGCAGTTTAGTTGCTGGTATGATGTAACACTGATCATATGTAATGTTACGAAACAAGTTCACAGATTAATGCAAACAGGAAAATACTAGAGTTTGATGGAATCCAGGACAGGTGGTGCAGCAGCAGATACCCTCCAGGCAGCCTACACTCAGATTACTGAGATTGAAATAAACAAATCTGCACAAACAAACAAAGTTGAACATATGGTTATCAATGTTAGGAGACGATTGCAAACGGTTAAAACAGCGGTTCATATTAAAAGTGCACGACAAGCTGCTGCTGCTGGGCAGAGTAGCTACCTCAGACTCAGAGAGCGACAGAGAGAGATTATTGTGGATTATGCGATAAAGGTCGATGCTGGATGTAAGAGGGATCAGAGAGGATGAGGGCAAAGGGCTGGACGCGAGCATTACATCATCTGACTATGACCTTGTTGGCGTCTCTTTGCACGGTACCCCTCAGATGAGTTGGACCCTCTTTAGGAACACCCACCCTTACAATACATTTATTATAAAACCATGAAACAATATGAATTCTTCCTGTCTGTCTGACTGACGAGAGATAAAACTGACAATGTGTGACTTATCTTTCAAGCATATTGCTACAGTTCTATCCCCTTGCATGCAATCTGTGGAGTACAACTGACAGATGTGTTTCTTTAGTTAGGTCTGTTTTTTCATGAACTGCTTCACTTTTGTTAATTGGTACTGTAACCCTTGTTCCCCATCTGTCCGTCCATTTGAAGTTTTGCCAAATTTGCCATACAAAAACATCTGTGAGGGTGCACAGTATCCCCGTCTACAACCCCTAAATCCCCCACAGGTGTTTAATCTCAGATGTGCTGTCAGTTCACTGGAGATGTATTGTGTTGCAGGTCCTCTATCCGGGTGGGGAGTGAATTCTGTGGAAATTCTGAGGCAGATTTTAGTCAAATTGTATGTTTTTGTGTTTGCTCACCACAAACTGCTATTCCAGACCACATAATAACTATGTATTAGTGCAAATACAATTGCTACAGTATGCTATGCTTAGGATACTTTGCCTGGGTGCTGTCCAGGTTCATACTTGGGATGGCCAAATATCACTTTTTCATGTTTAAACCAAAAGAATATCTGCCAACATCAGTCCTTTGCCATCTTTTCCCCCTCTCTTAAATAACTAAGCTGTTGAAGTACCCGAGTGTAGGAATACTCTGTTAAAAGTCCTGCATTCAAAATGTTACTCAAGTAAAACCTCTGCCGCTGACTTTAACTAAAAATAACATTTTCAATGTTGTTGATAGAGAATGAGAGGATGGTTTGAATCTGATGAGGCTGAATCCACTCGCTGAACTCTTTATGGTATTTGGGTCAGTAATGCACACAAACACACAACATGTCTCTAAACCCACAACAAATCAGTCCGTCACAGTCAGATAAAACATTTGTATGGCTGCACTTTGCTGAAGATGTTTTAAAAACATCATGCTCACACTGGGAAAAAAATATTCTACTCCAAATTAAAGAAATAGATAACCCAAAACAGGACTTTTGAATGTGTAAATGCTGCTTCTTTTTATTGTTCAGCACAATATAAACATTCAAATCATGTTTTATTTAATCAATTTTGTGCAAAAGTTGATGCAATTCCAGGGTTAAAAAAAACCTAAAAAACTAAATGTTCCTACACCCAATGACAGTTATAGACAGATGTTTTAAGGAATGTATTAGCGGATTAGATTAATTGGTAATGTGGTAATTGCCGATGCATTGATTTTGGCCAGTATTGGACCGGATTTGCATATTTCCAGAGTTTTACACATTTCTTTTTTATTAAAGTTATTCTTAATGCTCAGATTTTGCACAATGTTTCACGAGTGCGTGAAAACGTTTCAATAAAGGGGAAGCAGCAGTTTTGCAATAATGACTCATGTTGTGGGTTATGTATGTTTTCTGAAAATAAAATATTCGTTTGACCATTTGAGTATTATGTTTATTAAATGGCTGGGGTTAAGCAAAGGGCAAATGTATTGTTAACAGCTTGGTTGTATAAGAGAGGGAAAAATACGTTATCGGATTGGTTTTTGGCAGATACTGAATATCAGTATTAGTATCATATGAAAAAGTTGTCTCTAACCATCACCATAAAGCGTGTTTACTGAAACAAATTTCCCCAAACACTAAAAATGTGTATGAGAACAGCCAAATTGCAAGAATGACTCAAAAGGCTATATTCTGGTAGAAGCACATTTTCCCAACATTTTTTCCACTTAATATCGACAAATCTGTTCTGCACGAATCAGGAAGTCAGAGTTATGATGTTTTTGGAGCGTCAGTCTTATCGAATCAGTGGTCACACAATCTCTTTATCCCGATGTCCTACCAAAGCCACGGCAGATAAATGACTCAATCCTCATCTACCCACAGCGCAGCAGCATTGCTGATATTGTTGCTTTCCAAATCCCTGCTTTGGTACACGAAATCCATAGATTGTTATGCCAAATTATTATATAACCATTGAGTTTTGTGCTGTTATGCATGTGGATTTATTATGGAAGTCATGCACAAATTAGTATTTTTAGTTTTTGGGCAAATTTGGCAAATGATAGCCTTGTACCAAATAGTTCAAATTAAAATGTTTGCAGACATGATGCTGAATAATACATGCACAGTGTCCTTGGCTTCCTTTCCAGTTCCACACATGAAGCCTGTTGTATTCATTCAAACCAAAATATACAAAATGGAAAAGATTACATTAGATGTTTTATTTAGAGATCTGGAAGATATCTGTGACAAGGATTTTACTTGTTGGATTGTATCCATAAATAAATAATGTACTCTAAAAACATAACAACAAGGCTAGGCTAAATACTTGATATGTACAATTGTTATACACAGTGATTTCTTATTAAGTAGATGATAACTATTATATCTACATTTTCATTATAACATTGCTTTAGTGATAAGAATGTTGTGAGAATAGTTCATAAACAATCAAAGTCTACAATTAACAATACAAACATTTGAAAAATTCAAACCATTTCAACAAAACGATCCAAAATGACTTATAAAATAGGTATAATCAGGCAAAACATTATTAGTTTGATAAACACTTTCAATAGTTGCATAGTAAAATTCTCTCTGAGAATAACTTCACATTGCTTCACTTTTCTTAGCAGCACTTTATTCAAATCACAAATTAGTATATGTTCTTAATATGTAAAAAGATAATCTGTTGAAGAGCTTTATAGAATGACAGTATTAGTATTAAAGCGTGTCCGTAGAGGTGCAAAGGTCATTTCTTCTTCTTTCAGCTGCTCATTCGTGGGACATCATTCTGACGAACTCTGCAGCAGAGAAAAAGAGTTTATAAAATCATTGTGATTACATTTGCTCTATCATTGAAGTCCATTTCCCTGATACTTCTTACCTTCAAAGTCTACTGTGCCATCTCCGTTGTCGTCTGCTTCTTTTACTATTGAGTCTATCTCCCTCTGGCTCATGTGCTCTCCCATCAGCTTGCCCATGGCCGACCGCAGCTCCTCCGTTGTGATCTCTCCATCTCCATCCGTATCGAACTGACCATAGAAACAAGAGAAGAATAAAAGAAAATGAGATCACTATTTATCCCTAGCTTTCAGTCATTGAATTGGGATGTATTGGTCAAATATGTAAGGAAATTGGAAAGTTCATGTAAAGAAAACGTTTTACTCTCACCTCTTTAAAGGCGTCTTTGAGCTCCTTCATCCCAATCATCCCGGAGGTTTCTGCCAGAAGCTTCGGGGCCATCAGGTCTACAAAATCCTCAAAGTCCACTTTGCCACCAACTGAAGGGAAATCCAAAGAAACTATTCAGGACTTTTCTTAATCATCGCTGCAAATGATCCTCTAACTGGAGATTTCTCATCAGTTTACAGCCGAAAAACGTTTTTTAGATATGTTTCTCTTTGGGGAGTGGGACTCACGGTTCATGTTGATATTTTGGCTCAACTCGATCAGCTCCATCTCCGTGGGCATGTAGCCCATCGTCCTCATCAGATTCCCCAGGTCCTTACAGCTGATCAGCCCATCCTTGTCTTTATCAAACTCATTGAATGCTTCCCGAAGCTCTGTAGCAGCAAAGAGAAATTCACCCAGTCAGATTGAGGTACATGCAAAGAGTTTAATCTACCAACATGAGAATATGAAGAATAGGAAAATTGTATTTACCCTCAATCTCATCTTCAGCCAGCTGTCTTGTCTGCACAAAGGGAGGGAAAAGCAATTGGTTTGGTCTTTTGTAGTAAGACTCAATTAACAAAATTGATGTTTTTTGGCTCAATACAGAACATTACAATAGATTTAAACTGTGCACAGATTAGACTGTGGATTAAAGTGTATTGGCTGGTGGAGCACTGGCATCAGCATGCTCAATTTCGGTTTCTCTCATCTTTTTATTTTTGGTTAAAGACCTTTCATCACACCATTAGAAATGTACTTACAATATTCTTCCCTCCTCGCAAGAAAACGCACGCGGCCCCTAAACTCATTTCTGCAAAAGACACAAAAAAAACAATTTGAAGTTGTAATTATGAATATGACAATTTCTTTTTACAATTTCTGACAGATGAAGCACAGCTGGCTGGTGTTTGCCAGAGCCAGCAAATTAGGATTAGGATAGATTGAGTGGAATGTGTTCCCTCAGAGGGATTGCCATAATTATCACTGTCTGACTGCATAAAGCCCTTTTCTCAAAATGGTACGAGTGTGTGTTTTCTGATCAAAATAACAGGAGCAAATACTATTCCAATTACAGGAAATCAACTGCCAAAGAAAAAGGAAAAAAGTGACACCAGGTACAAACCTTCTTTTGGTGATTGCTGTTCATCAGCCAATAGCTTCACCTAATCCAAGACCCAGCAGCCGACCCAAGGTGTTTTCCTCCTGTTATGTTATCTTCCTCTCAGTATCGGTTCTGTTTATCGTGGTCCAGGTGGCAGCCCTTTCTCTCAGTGTGTGGAGACCCTGTGTGCCCTGCTGCGGGATGCTGGGAGGTTGTATAAGGGGGTTGGAGGGTGTGGCTGCATCCAGTTGTACTCTCTGGGAGGAGCCAGCGGTGTGATGGGTGGGCATCAGGTTCATGCATGACCTAAAGAGATGCCGAGCGTAAACTTTATATTGTAAATAACACACTGCCATCTGAGCATGACAGAAGAGATTTGATACTGTCAGGTCAGAGGTTAGGCATAGAGTTTCTGTTTCCTTTGTTTACTGTGAAGTATAACAGTATAGCCAATTCACTGCAGTTCAACACGGTGGATTTAACACTTTAAAAGTTGAATAATAATAATAATAATTGATCATTCCGATTATGTATGAAAGTTGTGGAACATTTTAAAGGTTGTATGGAGTTTCTGCCTGAAGGTACAAATATGTACATACATGTTTAAAATGCATTAAAAGGTTTTTATATGCTGAACATTTCTTCCATTTATTAAAAGGCGATTCTTTCTCTGGAAATGTTGAATATTTCTAAACGATAGCATGCATGTCCTAATTGAGATTAACTTTATGATGATTGAATTGAGTTTATTGAAAGATGTGGACTAATTACATGCAAAAAAAATTGCCGTGGGAAGTAAAATAAAGATTTTGTAGAAGAACATTAATGTGGATAAGAAATTGTAAAGTGTTACAGCTTGTAAGTGATAATAAAAAAACAGAAAGATACAGAGGTTTTGGTTTTATTGTGTGTGTTTCTGTGTCAGCTAAAAGTGCACAACACAGAGAGTATCCTGAGTGGATTATGATTTTTATGATCATAAAACTAGCGATTTTAATTGACTATATATAAACAGGGAACACATCTTTGCATTTGGAAGAGAACGTTTTTTTATCTTGATAAATAATTTAACATTTAATAAAGTTGACAGTTTGTACTCTTGATTGAAATAATCAATTCAAGATAATAGAGGCTAATTTGGTTACTCTGTCGTTGTATCAGCTCCTTCTGTTTTCCTATAAATGGCAGTGAAACAGATTGTCGATGTATTAAAGAGCCAAAGGCCAGTCAAAGCTATCCCATTGTGTGATAATCTATGCGAGTATTGGTTACATTTGCGTGGAAACTAAAAGATTATCTTTTCCATGAAAAACCATGATGAAATGTCAGCGGTTAATACCCCAGGGTCAGTCTTGACTTCCTGCTGTCATGATGTCTGCAGTAACAGGCTGAGCTGAAACACTTGTGCACAGCCATGGATAGTTTACGTGTGTCCTCCTCTCTGAGCTTTCCTCCGCCTGATTCTCTGTTGTGTAAATTCATCAACATCTGTTTGCATAAGGAGCGTAATCCGCTGGGCTATGGAGCGAGAACTCGTAATGGTTTTATTATCTTTTCCCCCTCTACATTGCAGAGTTATGCAAAACCCACAGCGGCGGAAAGATGTCTGGAGTGGAGGACTGGAGGAAATCATGAATTAACACTGAGAAGAGGAAAAGGGAGGGCTGTGTGGTGGATGTATGGTTTGATTTAAAAAATAAATAGATTATATTGATAGAAAATAAAAATAGGTTACGTTTTTGGATTAGAATCTGGATTAAGATATAAAAGCGCGCGAAAGCACAGCTATTTGTTGACCATTTCTGCCCCACAACAGTCAAACCTATTTAATAAAAACTAATTCATACAAAGGTAATCCATTGCTGGATGTTGAAAAGCTACATCTACAAAGCTTTGCTGATTTACTTACTTATGTGTAAAAAAAGATAGAGTAGGAGTTTGAATGGGTTTACATGAATTGAGTGAAAAGTCGAATAATACTTAAAACATGGAAATGTATTAAGGTTTTTTGAAAAGCAAATGCCTGATTGAATTGCTGTAAACGTTGAATAATGCCCATTATGTATGAAAGATGTGGAACATTTTAAAGGTATGGAGTTTCTGCCTGAAGGTACAAATAAGTACACAGGTTTAAAATGCATTAAAAGGTTTTTATATGCTGAACATTTCTTCCATTTATTTCAAAGGTGATTCTTTCTCTGGAAATATTTAATATTTCTAAATGAATGGAAGGCATGAATGAGATAGCATGCATGTCCTAATTGAGATTAACCTACATTTTGTAAAATAACATTGATGTGGATAAGAAATTGTAAAGTGTAACAGCTTGAAAATTAGAATAAAAAACAGAAAGATACAGAGGTTTTGGTTTTATTGTGTTTTTTTCAACACATATAAAAGTGCACAACACTGAGATTACACTGAGTGGATTAGAGCGGCTGTAACAGCGATTGATAGGATGTGAAATAGTTCCAATGTTACAGATGCAAAACTTCCAAACTGAAATTAATTACATAAAAAGGCAGTTAAAGATAAAATAATACCAATAAATATAAAAGAAGGATTATATTACACCAATTACAATTACTCTACACTTGGACTGCTAATAAGAGTTATATAAGTAAACAAAATATCATAGCAGATATGTCTTGGTTTGCAATATGCAAAGTGGAGCATAATAGCAAATCTCCATAGAGGAATTATTAATCAATAGAAATTGCAATTTATATAGTTGTACTAGCGAGAGAGTAGTTGAACATAAACAAACACATTTCAGTAGGCTATATATAGGTTTTCATCTTATCAATTAGGATGTTTTCTTATAGATTAAATGAATTGCCTCCACCTTCAGCAATAAACAATGTCCTGAAAATAACAAAACTAACAACAGCAAAAAGAGAAACTTCAGGTAAACAGATGAGGAGCACAAACGGTATGCTTTAGGCTACATCATTTTCTATTTTTTTTAATCATATACTTCAACGACTTAAAGTAGGTGGCACAATTCCACATGAGCACAGTGCAATAAGAAGTTCTTATTATTACCCAAAATAATCCCAATATTGTCCCACAGTTAATGGTGGTTTAAACTTGTGTTGACGTCTGAAGCTCCTCGGCCACGCGCGGGCGTGGGTGCAGCTCCTGTGCCTGATATGGAAGCATCGAAGAAGAGCACTTCCGGTTTCCTTTCGGCTCCCGCCCCGCTCCGCCATCATGAAGCCCTGAACAAAAACGGATGGAGAGTCGAGCAAAATGGGGATAACACGAACTGGAGATTAAATCTGCCGACAACACTAACGTAATGACAGCACAAAGTGGAGCACGGAGTGGACCCGTGGAAATTAATAAATCCATTCCCCATTGAAAACGTCCCAGGCAGTTCTTGGCGTTACGTTATTTAGTTAGCGGTGTTGCTAACAGCAACTAGAGCTAGCCTCTGATTTTGTTAGCTACCCGGCTAGTTATCTGTTAGCAGCCGTCAGTCAGATAGCTGTCACTCTAATTGACTGGCACTTTACTCATGTCAAGCTGCGCAGACGGGCTAGCTGTCCAATTGACTGGGAGCACCAGGATGGAGAGGAGTTTAAGTAAAAGCGTCGACAGGCAGAATGTGGTTTGTTCGTGTTGAATAGACACCAGTGCCGAGGAAAGGGGAGTGAGACCAATATTTTCCAGCCAGGCCGGTTAGCTAGCTCCAGGGCTAGCTACAGTGGATCCCAGAAGCCACGGTAAGACATGTTATAAATCATTCAGCATGCTAATGCAGCCGACTGCGCCTCTCTATCCCTTTTTTGCAGGGAAACAGAACCTAGCATAATTAATTAAACAAATCTTCAGATACTGGAGACGTTGACATTGGCATGAAAGCTTGTTGTTGGCCTGCATATTGAAAACCTAACCAGTCTTGAGTTGTTGTTGTCCACTGTTGAATACATGTAATTTATTTGGTGAGCTACATAGCCTAATTGACCAGCCAAGTGCAAAAAGCCATGTCGCTTTCCCAGCTGAGCTCCTGATGGCAAACCCCTATAGAAATAAATAGTTTTCTGTCACAGCAACCAAGGATTATAACATTTTTCCCCCAGAATATGCACAGGGTTGTAAAATTATAGATTGGGGAGGTTCATTTTGAATAAAACCCCACATTTCCAGCATTTGCTGCCGCTTCCTGTGTGTGTCTGGGATTCTTATAAATAGACTGAGAGCTTGCTTTAGGCTTTGTTGCAAGATTGAAAGAACTTCTCATTTTCAAAGGGAACCTCAAGCTTCCTCTTTGACTGAAGCAAAAATGGCCTTAAGAGAAACGTTTCATGTGATGCTTGTTCATTTTGAAGTGTGTGGAAATACTAACACGAAGGCCCAGTCGTTCACTTAATGATCACTATGAAACATATGGAGCATGTGTTACATATTACATTACACTCTGACAAGATCCTAATGTCCCATGATATACGCCGTGCCAGGCTGTTAAACTGACAGACAGTGCATCACACAAATGATGATTGCAGTCTGCACTATAACCATCATTATAAGCATGCAGTACAAGTACAATTCATATGTTAGAATAAGTGTGTGTTTCTATATTTGTCTCCGCTTAAAAGTGGGAGGCTCGATTACACAAATGGTAAACCAGTGTTTATTTTCTCTTTGCAAAAATAATCTTGTCTATACCTGTACTGTAGACTACTATGCATTCAGGTTTAAAAAGGCTGTGAGTGAAATGATTAGTAGGCCCACACATTTAATAAGGTGATTAATGTGCAGTCATTTAATAATAACTAGTTACTCATTTTGATCCTGTATTGAAAGGAATGTAACACATTCAGAACCTAATGAGAGACATGTTTCAGCCTTTTTAACCATGATATATAATGTTTTCTGCTGGATTTAATGAGTCGAAAAAACGCCATACAAGATATAGTGAAGTGTAGTTCATATTGTAAAGTCAGATCAATAATAAGAGCTATCAGACGCTGTAGTGCTACTTATCCAAAGGTACAACTTGATAGGCAAATCATATTCATGCTAAACTGGTAAGCATTGTACTTTTAGCTCATAGCATTTCCATATTGGCCTCAGAAATGTCACACCAGTTTCACTCAGACAATATTCTGTACTGTATCTCCATTGTATTTTAGAAACACCCCTGTACCCCATGTCTAAGTGAGATATGGGCTGGCTGCTGAATGACTAGTCAAATGTATTGTTTGTCGGTAATTATTTGTTTTGTTTAACATACAATGAAAATATGATGTGTTTTTTGTGCATATTGAAGTCTTAAACATCATGAAATAATTGCTTGAAGACATAATATTCATATATTCATTTCTCCCTCATTTCCAATGCGATCTACAGAAGCTAAACACGGAATATTCCGTGTCTGGGTAAATTATGGTAATTAACATTTTTTTCTTAACAGTTTTGCTGCTATTGTTTATTCTTATATTTCTGCTAGAGTGACAGATGGAGGATTATGGATGAATGAGTTAAGTGTGTGGTCATTTGACGCTTATGGACAATTTGATATTTTACATGCCAACACATTTGCATTTTTGTAGATTTAAACAGTTCAAATGAAGCTGAAGATCAAATGAAGCTGAAGAAACATGAACCTTAGTGTCTCGCCCGTCAGGGTTGGTGCCACACATTGATTTAGCAACGGTTAGCTAGCTGTCGTCATTGCACCCAGCTTCCCGGTAGTAGTGAACATTCAATATTGTTTAAAATAATAAGTCAGTTAATTTTCTTTATATGAAATGGCCCATCTTTCTTTGCTTATAATATGTTGGATACATGTTAGCGAAATGTGCATTTTCAGGCCAGTTTTAGCCTTTATTGGAGAGTGACCCCGCCTTTAGTTACCCTGAGGACCCCCTGTTGAAGACCCATGCTGCAGATAATATGCGCCTGTCTGTCGAGTTATGTCTCAGACTTTTTTGAGCTGAACAAGTTAAACATTTCAACACATTCACTTTATATAAATAACAACATAGACACACATAATAATAATAATATAAAGCTATAACATGCATAGGGAGGTGTGTGACCATATTTCTATCCGCTTGTGTTTCTAACACAAACATTGGTGATCCTTCCAAATAACAGACGCTCACCCTGTGTGTGTTTTCCTCGCTCACCAGGCGCTGGCCATGCCGGCGATTGTGCGGGCCGGGAGCCTGAAGGACCCCGATGTGGCGGAGCTGTTCTTCAGGGATGACCCGGAGAAGCTCTTCACCGACCTCCGGGAGATCGGCCATGGGAGCTTCGGAGCGGTCTACTTCGTGAGTTCCTCTCCTTAGTGTTTGGGTCTGTCATAGTAATGTGTAAACTGTGTCGTTCATCTCTCAGCTGGCTGATATGGATACACTCATCATTTAAAGGTTGCAGAATTATATTTGACCGGGAAAGGGAGTTTAATAAATCAAACATTTCTACAAACATATCTTTTTAATTTATAAATCAGGTTAAGTTGGCTCCTTACACTTTGCTGATACAAATATCCAACTGTAAAATGTGATGGAGTTCTAAAAGGCAACTCACAATTACTCTATTTATATCTATTTAATCAAATACACAAAATAAACAATGAAAACAATAACTGTTTGCAGCTCTCAAAGGGATTGTTAGTTGTAGCAGCTCAAGCTACATCAGATTGTTGCTACAAATTATAGTACAGCCCAAAAACTTCCCCTTAGCTGAAGCAAAAGCAAAGATGAAATGAATGTTGAGATGTTATCGCTGTGGTGAGTCTAGCCTGGTTTAAAGCTGCTGATGGTATGATAAGGACAGCAAAGTTAAGGAGCTAAGCTGACAGCTGATGGAGAGTGATGTTGTGAGATGGTATCTGTTAGACAGGAGGGAAGAGAGTGATGAACTGCCAACAAAACACAAGGTGGATGCACCTATCGTGTGAAAGGCGGCAGGAGGGAAGAAGAAGGTAACAACATGGTGCGAGTCAAGGACAAGAGGTGGAAGAAAAAGCTCTGTTTAATGGAGGGTGAAAAGCAGCTTGTGATGTATGAAGGGATCAACAGGAAAGGAGAGAAGAGGGAAAAAGGCTCGGTAGAAATTCTAGTTTTATGTGATGTTGATTTCTCTGTTAGGTCTGATGTAACAATGGCTGCTAAATCCCTCAGGATGGGAAAACTAAATATTCAAAAGAAGGTATTTCTCATCCGTTGTCTCTTCCATTTCCACGTTAGGCCCATGACATCCGCACAAATGAGGTAGTGGCCATCAAGAAGATGTCATATGGGGGCAAACAGTCCAATGAGGTAAGACCTGATGACCCCCTCAGCCGTTATCCAATCGCAGATTTCAAATCAGTTTATCAGTTTGCTCTTCAATGATTTTGGCTTTGATTTTTCAGAAATGGCAGGATATCATCAAGGAAGTGAAGTTCCTCCAGAAGCTGCGCCACCCCAACACTGTAGAGTACCATGGCTGCTACCTGAGGGAGCACACAGCATGGGTGAGTGTGTGTGTGTGGGCGTGGGCTCTTTTCATACGAATGTTTCAAACCTTTACTGTAAATTGATTGTGCAATACACAAAGAACTTGCTTTAGCTACACATCGTAGGTGAAATAGTGTGGTCAAATGCAATGTAAAAGCCTCTTATAAACAAACAGGTTTCTGTCAATGCAGACGTTCACCCAAAGTGCATTTTCAGTGCATCTATTCACAGGTTTCCCTAAAAGGCTCTTGTTCCCTTGGGAAAGGTGCTCTAGTTTTTAAAAAAAACAAAAAACATTGTAAAGTGTTTTTGTCATCATTAGCGCTATACTACATATTTTTTTCAAAGCTTCTGCTGAGGTATTTAAGTAAATAGTTGGATATCTGTTTTTATATTTTAAAATGTTCACCATTACTCAGTTTGAGTAAATGGGTTCAACATATCAAATACGTTTGTCTATTTGATTAAAGCTACCTATTCAATGAACATAACTTGTCTGTGCATGTCCCAAGCAGGAGTGCAAACTGGTTTTCCTGCAGCAATTAAAATGTTGTTTTGCAACGGCTAAACGGCAACAACTTCTAATATATGGAGGAGTTAGTCATGAGAGCACTTATTGGCCCTACCTTGTTACAACAGCAGCTCTTATGGCGCGATTCCACTGCAGCGGGTAGCTCGCTTTAAGCGTGCCGAGCCGTGCGGGGCCCGTTTTTGGTTGCGTTTCCACTTGGCCTAGTACCGGCTAGCGGGTCCTAATTCACAGTTTTTCTGGCCCCATAAAATCGTGTTTCTAGGGCCAGGAACAATCAGGCTGAGTCGGGCTGAGTATGCTAAACTAGAGAGAATCGCTGGCAAGGGGGCTACAACTACAACAAGATGAACATATTTGACCGTGATTTAATTGTAATACACGTTTCAAAATGATGCCGAAGTAACAACATACTGATACCGGTTAGTAAAAACCATGAATTAATGCTTTGACAAGTCTGCAGACAGACGGCAGGCGAAAAACCCTTTTAAAATGCGTGTTTTCTAAATGGAGCTTGGCTAAGCTAACGTTATATATGCTCCGACCGTCCACACTCACAACAACGGCCTATACAGACATAAATAAACCAGCGACTGTATTCGCCATGACACAGGCAGTCTGTGGTTTGTACTTGTTTAACTTTTATCTAGTTTCTGAACAGATATGAAGAGCTATGAGCTCTGAGTGCTAAGAGCTAACGGCTGTGTTGTTTTTCCGGGGCTCTCGTTGAAGATGACGTCACGGCTCCGCCTACACTGCGTTACTATAGTAACTGCCCCAGTTCCTAAACTGTAATGGAAGCGCAGCATTAAAGTGAGCCGGGCCTAATAAGGCCTAACCAAACCGAGCAAGGCCGAGCGAGGCCTGCAGTGGAAATGCGCCAATACACTTATGGCGCGTTTCCACTGCAGGCCTCGCACGGCCTCGCCTGCCGTCTGTCTGCAGACTTGTCAAAGCATTAATTCATGGTTTTTACTAACCGGTATCAGTATGTTGTTACTTCGGCATCATTTTGAAACGTGTATTACAATTAAATCACAGTCAAATATGTTCATCTTGTTGTAGTTGTAGCCCCCTTGCCAGCGATTCTCTCTCTCTAGTTTAGCATACTCAGCCCGACTCAGCCTGGTTGTTCCTTGCCCTAGAACCACGATTTTATGGGGCCAGAAAAACTGTGAATTAGGACCCGCTAGCCGGTACTAGGCCAACGCGCCATTAAATAACATACTCAAATCAAGGCCAAACTGCTTCACGTCCAAAAAAAAGCTCTTTGTGTGGAAAAGTCCTTAAGTCAGGGGGTCCGCTGGGTCTTAAAAAGTATTAAAAGTTGATAAATCAATTTAGCGAACATTAATGCTATTAAAAAGTATTAAAGGGCATTTTCCAAGGTATTACATTTTGTTTTCAATAAGTATATCAATGGTCCAAAGAGGTTGTATTCTACAGTCTGCCTGAATGTAATCATTGCGTAGGTGTGTAGTGTGATTCTGTGAAGTTTATTGATGGCATCCCGTTGGGTTTGACGTCATCTGAACAGGACATCGCACGCTCACTGCTTGATAGCGCGCAAAGGTCCGTTTACGCCGGTTGTTAAACAACATCGTTATGGGGAAATGCAAGTCTGCGTCCAAATGGTTGGAAGATAAGGAGGAAGGACAATCAATACTGTATATAGTCAATGTGAGGTAAAGTGTGTCGCCAATGTAACCGGTTAAAACTCAAAGTGGCGATGAGGTCTTAAAATGTATGGAAAGGGTCTTAAAAGGTCTTACATTTGACTTCAGGATCCCTGCATATACCCTGTAAGTGCAAAAAGCATGCAGTTTAATCTCCCTCTGTGTCTCCTAGCTGGTGATGGAATACTGCTTGGGCTCAGCTTCTGACCTCTTAGAAGGTAAGCAGGAATGAATCAAGTAATTAAGATGCCAACATGAATTAATTAGCATCTACTCAAGTGTGTTCAGTCAGTTGTTCTCGAAAAAACAATGCCTAATATCCCGTAATGCCTCTCTTATCCCAGTCCATAAGAAACCTCTCCAGGAAGTGGAAATAGCTGCCATCGTCCATGGTGCATTGCAGGGCTTGGTGTATCTTCACTCTCACAACATGATTCACAGGTAACCCCCGTTTATTTTCTCACTTTCTGTATCTGTTCTCCTCCCCCACATTTCTTATGACAAGAGACAAAACAAATACAGGGCGAAAGCACAAACTGTGCTGCTGAGACCAGCTTATGCAACAGTGTTCACACTCTGAGCAGCAACACATTTGAGTACATCTGACAAGACACTGTCTCTCTCATATGTCCCCTATTTGTTTTGTCTTCCTCACGATTCCCCCGGCCAGTCATTTTCTCTGATCTGATCATGTCTCTCTCTCTCAGGGATGTGAAGGCAGGAAACATCTTGCTCACAGAGCCGGGTCAGGTCAAACTGGGAGACTTTGGCTCCGCCTCCATCATGGCCCCGGCCAACTCCTTTGTGGGAACACCTTACTGGTAAAATATCAAATGTATTGCTCATCACCGTTTCTCAGGAGATGAGGACAGTTACTCCTTTTGGATTCAGAAGGATTGCACCAGATTATGATCCAGCAAACACCGTGTTTGTGAATCTGCTTTATTAAGAAAGTCATCGGTTTCACTTATTTTAAATGTCGTTGTTAAGCGTTACTAAGTATTTCCCTGTATCATAGTATACCTGAAAGGTGTTTTTAAAGTTTTCAAATCTGGTTGATTTAAAAACAGTCAACTTAAAAGTAAGGAGTGAACTATCTCACTTTCTGCTCATCTCAGTGGAGAACTCCATTGCATATGTGGAGTACCCATCTGTAAGACAAATGGCAGCGTGTAAAGATGGAGTTTATCAGCTAAAGCGATGTCAATCATTTCAATTACATTTATTTCATAAACTGTTTGTAAAGGGGCAAGTTGATTTTTTTTGAAGTGAGAATTGAACATTGAGCCATATTGGTTAATCAGGGTCGATTGTATTAAGACCTTAAGAATGATAACCCTTAAGTTAAAATAAGAAATGTCTTTGATATTAAAATGTAATTACTTTGAATTGACCTTTTTAGCTGGCCCTCCCAGGGAGCGTGCGAGTCCATCAGATTATTATTTGTATATACTAGATGTATTTTTGAGGTGCTGGAAACAGCATTTAGCATCAGCATTTTCCCCGGCTGTACCTGCGCGTTTCTCACCGGGTCATCAGACTATTCATCTTCTACAGGTTTCTGTAGTTATTGAATATGTGCCGGCCTAACCCTGGTTTTGTCCCTGCTGTTTGATGTGGTGTAGACGTGGGGACAGTGAGCCCTGAGGCTCTCTGATAGTCCAGGTTCAAAGAAATGGAAAAGGCTGAATTGCTTTGTTGTGTCCTCCATGCAGGATGGCCCCTGAAGTGATCCTGGCCATGGACGAGGGCCAGTACGATGGGAAGGTGGATGTGTGGTCACTTGGCATTACCGCCATAGAGCTGGGTAAGAGATGTTCATAAAGTGCTCCACTTGTGTGTGTGTTCAAAGAGCTGAAAGCATCCTTTTTCTGCCTTTCTCTGTCACGCAATGTTGTGCTTTGTCCCTCTAGCGGAAAGGAAGCCTCCTCTGTTCAACATGAATGCAATGAGTGCCTTATACCACATCGCCCAGAATGAGAGCCCCGTGTTGCTGTCTAATCACTGGTGAGAGTTGGTGCAACTGCCTTAATGTCCTTTTGTTGCTGATTTAATGTGCCAAGAGAAAACATGTGTTATGTTGCTTGATATCATATTCTAAATGTTGCTTTTGGAAAATAGCTTCTGATGTGTTGGAAGCTTATACAACATAGACATTTTCAAAGGATATTTAATTTTATACACATTTCCAGGAAGTCTACCGATATGAAAGAACTTGGCACAGTGATTACTCCTGATTTCATGGATCTGTGTTGCAGTTGAAACATTTCAATAATGCGTTCACTCATAACATCACAAAGTGAATGGTGCTTTTATAAAGACAGTCTTTATCCTTTCCAGGTCGGATTATTTCCGCAATTTTGTGGACTCCTGTTTGCAGAAGATCGCCCAGGACAGACCTACCTCTGATGTGCTGCTCAAGGTACAAAGTGGTGTTTGTTGTCGCACATGAAGGCAGGCGGCAGCCTTTGATTCTCTCTTTGTCCGAGATTATGATAGAGCAAAGGGAATCTGAAGAAAAGCGCTTTCAGCCACGGCACGAATTGATCTATATTGAAAGGATTAATATGACATGTTTTTCATCTTATAAACTACTCTGATGAACATTTTGTGTACGGCACAAACACTGCTCTCATCTACATTTAATTCCATATTGTACACCAGGTGTTCAATTTTAGTTTTTTTCCCCTTAAATATAGGGCCCCTCTTTCTCCTCAGTTAGAACCAGCTGTGTTTAACCCTTAGATGCCCGAGTGACTGGACCCTACACTCTTCCATAAGTGGGTCAAAAAGCACCCGTATTAGAATAATGTGTTTTTATGCCATTTCTGTCATTTTGGTTAAGAAAAATCACTTGTATAATATTTAGTATTATATTTTGGTTCACACTAGAAATATTTTATATTTCATTTTTCACTATATATAATTTTAGACATTTCTTCTACATTTTGAAAAAAACCGCTTTGAACGTATTGATGCAAAGATCTCCGCTATTCTGAGACCCTCACAGTATTCCAGTCCCTTTTCAAAACTCATCTCTTCTCCTCTTGTCTACTCATAGCGCCCCCCCCCCCCCCCCCCCATCAATCCATGCCGGTCGATCAAGTTTGATAGTCCTATACCCCCCACCCTAACTTTCCCTTATATTGTAAAGCGATGTTGAGTCCTTGAAAAGCCCTATACAAATATAATGTATTATTATACTGACTGACTGACAGGTATCAGATCTTGCTGTGTAAAATAATCTTCCTGAGAGGTGTCACTTGTTATTGTTATTTTTGATCCACTTATGGAAGCTTGGGGTAGTAATACAAAAACTACAATTTCTTAAAATGTCAATTTAAAATTTGAATGGCATGATTTTTTGAGGAATAGCTGGAATATGAAATGATAAATGTTTTTGATTACAAAGATACTTCAAGAAAACCACCTCACCGGGTAAAAAGATACACACTTATGCATCTAAAGGTTACATAAATACAGTAGTCATCTCTGTTTACGTTTTCGTTCCAGTTGGCTCAAGCATGCGCTGGCATAACAAGCGGGTCAGCTTAATGATGTCGGGGAAACAAAAAAATTGCCCTCAAAGGAAAATATAAAAGGGAGGGACAATCCTCATCAGCATGTAGGCAGAGTATCTAAGTTCATGTGCAACGGGTTCATGAGCAGAATCCTAGAATAAAGGAAAATCAATATAAATATCTTAAACAATAATCGCCCTGCACCCTAACTCCCATCTTGGGTTCATGTTGGTTATTCCTAATATACCAGGAAGTTGATTTGTAGACCCTAAGCACCCTGTGGCTGTTTAATTGTTCACTCATTCTCTCATCCCTTCTATCCTGCAGCACCATTTCCTATGCAGAGAGCGTCCCGTCACCGCGGTGATGGACCTGATCGCCCGCACCAAGGATGCTGTTCGTGAGCTGGACAACCTCCAGTACCGCAAGATGAAGAAAATCCTCTTCCATGAGGCGCTCAACGGACCCGCACCAGAAGGAGGCGACGAGGAAGAGGTAGGACTGGGACAGAGGAGGGGGAGGAGGAGGCCAAGAGTGCTGAGGCTTTGTTCATCACTTCACATTTAGTTGTACATGTGAAATTAGAAGTGCTTCCCCAAAACTTAAAAGGGACCTATCATGCAAAATGCACTTTTGTACGTCTTTTATACATGAATGTGTGTCCCCGGTGTGTCAGGAAACTCACCAAGTGTCAGAAAACACAACCCTCTCTCTTTTCCTCCATACCCAAATCTCTAAAAACGGGGCTGCAACAGATCTGATACAGACTGATCCAGATTTGAAATATCTCTGACGTCAGAAACGAGGAGCTCCGCCTATATGGGGAACTCTCCACCTATCAGGAGGAGACAGCCACGGCCATTGCCGTTCGAAAGCGCTGGAGACGCTGTAGTACATATGCCAGGCCTGTAGGTGGCGCTGTAGTCTGCCACAAAAGCAGCGAAGAAGACTTCTCTCAGATTCAGCCCTTGCTAAAACAGGGCTAAAAAAGAGCGAAATGAGGCATGGCTAAAATGCATGATCTGTTTGGTATTTTGAAAAAAAAACTTCACAGACATGTTTTATATAGGTATGGCCCTACAATATATTGTTCAAATATAGCATGATAGGTCCACTTTAAGTTTCAAGGCTTTTATTGTCATGTGTGCATAGCTACATTGTAGTTATGACATTGAAAATCTTAGGTCACAGATACTCATGATACTTTAAAACTAAGACCCCTCTTGTAGGAATCTAGTCAAAGAAAACGAATAAGTCATCGCTGCCCTTTATGTACGCACATGTCCGGGTAGCTGGTTTCAGTATCCATCCTGCCTTTGTATCGTACTTCTCGATACATTATGTGAACTTAGGGCCCCTTCCTCTCACTTCCTCTTACAAAGGCTTTTGTTTCCATCAACATTTAATTCCAGTCGGTTGTTCCCCCGAAAAGGAAATGGAGGAATTCTGAGAATGTGGGGTCTGCACTTCTCCAAAGTGTTGACCTGTGTCTCGCTTTTAGTTTCACATTTTACTGCACGTCTGCTCAGAATATTTTTCATTGGAAAGCACATTTGTATATGCACTAAACCGGTCAATATACTACTACCGCTGCGACTGTTAACCTATAAAGTGGTAGCTTTGTATTTCCCTAGATCATTTAAACTCCTTTTCTGCCCTCCAGGATGCGGAGCAGTACATGCTGCGCACCGGCACCGTGAACAGCATGGAGAGCTCCCACTCTCTGCCCTCCATGTCCATCAGCGCCAGCTCCCAGAGCAGCTCCGTCAACAGCCTGGCCGACGGCTCTGACGACAGCGGGGAGATGGCCATGATGCAGGAGGGCGAGCACACCGTCACCTCCAACAGCTCCGTCCTGCACAAACCGCTGGTCAGTCCAAATACATTACTGTGTGGCCGGGAATGTGTGAGAGCAGTGTGAGAACTCTGTCCTGCCCAAACCACTCTCATACACATTCGGCTCCATTTGCATCAGTTTGACATGGCTTATGTTGAGAGAGAACCTTTTTTTTCAAACACTTATTTCATACCAACATCATTATAGAATAACATTTGTTTTGCACCCCTTACACGAAATGAAAGCGAAAGAAGCTTGCCAAAGTTTAGTTTTTTTTAGGGCCGGGACTTTAACGCGTTAATTAAGATTAATTAATTACACAAAAATTAACGCGTTAAAAAAATTAACGCATTTTAATCGCACTTATTTTTGCACCGCGGAACGTTTCTCACTGGATGAGTTTCAGGCGTACCGATTATACTGGAGCACCAACTAACGTTCGTGACTTCAGACAACAACAAACCACAGTGAACAACAGTGGGAAATGTTGTTTTAAAAAACGGACGGATGGAAGCGTCGATAAGAGCACGGTTGTGTGCAAATTATGCAAAAAGGAATTCGCATATCACCGCAGCACATCAAGCCTCAAGTATCACCTCAATGCAAAACATATAGCAGCTAGCGTGGAAGCTAGCGTGGACGTTAGCCTCTTTTATCGCGTTCACACCAAAAAGAGCCGGTACTAAAATTAGTTCATGAGAACCTTTTTACCCCCACGAAAGTCTCTGCTAGAGAGCAGAGAGCTGCTAGAGAGCAGGGACTTTCGTGCGGAAAAGAGCTATATGTCTGATTGGCTGGGCGGATTGCAAACTCCCAAAAAGTTTTGTGAAGCCGCCATTTTATTATCCTCGCATTAGCATTATTAGCATTAGCATTAGCCCAGCGCAGAAACGCAGAGAGTCTAACTTATGGCAACACAAAATAAAACATGGGAGCGGTGGAGATGAGGAGGTGTCGGCGTTCTGGCGATTTACTCGGAAGGCTTCAGTAGAAGCTGCTGGGAGTCCCAGCAGCTTCTACTGAAGCCAGTCCCCAACTCCGGAGACTTCCGGCCGGGGACTTTGGGCGGCAGTATACGCCGTGAAGTGGTTTGCGGCCTGCCAGTAAACCCAAAGCAGAAGAAGAAGAAGTGACGTCAGCGGCTTCATTTGCCTAATCCACCCCCAGGTTCAAAGAGTTCTCATGAACTAAGTTCTCATGAACCTTTGTGGGAAAAGTACTGCGGTGTGAATGCGCCTAATGGTATACTAAAATCCATGTGAAAAAAATTGCTTCTCACTGTTCTCAGGTCAAATATTTATATGTGATTAAAAATGCGATTAATTTCGATTAATTAATTACAAAGCCTCTAATTAATTAGATACATTTTTTTAATCGAGTCCCGGCCCTAGTTTTTTTGTGAAGTGAGTGTATCTTCACTGAGCCCTAAATAAAGTTAATGCCCTGTATTTAAAATGTAGTACTAGTGTGACATTTAGGTAAGACTAGTCAGTTGAATACATTTTCTTTATAGCAGCACAAACCTGTTTGAATAAATCCTGTTTTGCTCTCTGCTTGTCTCCGCTGTGTAGAGCCATGACAACATCTACGATGATCCCTACCAGCCGGAGATCGACCCGCTACGAGACGCTCCGTCTGCCGGTGGCGGCGGAGAGAGAGAAAGGGAGAGAGGAGGGAGGCGGAGGAGAAACAGAGATCATTTTGCCACCATCAGGACGGCCTCGCTCGTCACTCGGCAGATCCAGGAGCATGAGCAGGGCTCGGCCCTGAGGGAGCAGATGTCTGGGTGAGGGGACACACATGAAAATAAAGCCAATGCATGTTCAACAAGTTGGCTATAATAATATTATTCGTTTTATTCTTTTAATATAATTAGATTCCAGTGGCAGCTGTGTATGATTGTTTTATGACTTACTGACAAGATAATCTGCTTCAATCCATATTTGTTTGCACACAAAAGGACGCATACAATGATAGATTACATTCATTAAAGTTGATTTAATAAAAGACCACTTTACTCAAATGAAGGGTCTGTTCAAGGATTCTCTTGGCTAACTTCCTGCCTCGTGTCCTCACAGGTACAAGCGCATGCGGCGGCAGCACCAGAAGCAGCTGATGGGCCTGGAGAACAAGCTGAAGGCAGAGATGGACGAGCACCAGCTGAGACTGGACAAAGAGCTGGAGAACCAGAGGAACAGCTTCTCCATGGAGGGAGAGAAACTGTCCAAGAAGCACCAGGCCATCCTGGAGAAGGAGGTGAGCGGGTGGTGGAGGAGGGAGGAGGATAACTGCTATTGAAACTAAAGAGAAGTCCAGTAATCTTGCCATGGATTTTATAAGCTTGTGTTTCTCATAACTCATGATGTTAATGAGTTTTTGTTTGTGGTTTTCAGACAAAGGCAGTCCTGACTGAGGAGAAGAAGTTCCAGCAGCACATCCTGGGTCAGCAGAAGAAGGAGCTGACGGGGCTGCTGGAGTCCCAGAAGAGGCAGTACAGAGCACGCAAGGAGCAGCTCAAAGAGGTGCTTTTCACACGAACCACTCTTTTTCTGAGTCAAATGTTCCTGGTAGTTTTTTTTTATTAAATAAAATGCACTCACACTTACGACACACTTAACCTTCATTTATTTTTGGTGGCCAAAGTTCTATTTGACTTGTAGCCATTTTAGTTTTATTCAACTAATACAAGTTTGAATCAATAAAAAAGGGACTTTCTAGTCTTAAGTCTTTTCAGAATGTAATGTAGCCAAAATATCACCTCGCTTATCACTCTCACACACATATCCTGTTTTGCATACATTTTATAATTAGCTCTACGTTGTTTTTATCCAACTAAAGCAATCATTCAATTAACTTAAAATGTACCTTTTTATTTTGTTTTCACACGAAAATAACTAAACGTAATTTAAAATGAACCCTAGATTTCCCAACACAATCCAAACAGCCCTGATCCTTCAGCTTAATCATCCTTTACTACTACTACTACTGTACTGTCCGTTCATTGCCTCTTGTGTGTCTCCCCTCCAGGAGCTGAATGAGAACCAGTCGACCCCGAAGCGGGAGAAGCAGGAGTGGCTGGTGCATCAGAAGGAGTGTCTGCAGCAGCTGCAGGCGGAGGAGGAGGCGGGGCTGCTGCGACGGCAGAGGCAGTACTACGAGCTGCAGTGTCGCCAGTACAAGAGGAAGATGCTGCTGGCACGCCACAACCTGGAGCAGGACCTGCTCCGAGAGGTATCGTGTCAGATTGACATGGTATTAATTACATTCTCCTCAAATGTACTTTAAGCAGCCAGCAGTCAGGTAGACTTCTAACAGTTATTAGTTTTATTTATTTGGGATGTATCAGTTCCCCCGTTTTCTTTACTTTGAACCCTACCCAAAGTCCATGCTAAGAATTTAAGGTCAAGAAATCTATTATAAAGTTGTATTTTCGATTGTAAGCATCACATATTTAAGGTAATGCCTAGTTAAGAAATATCTCGCCGTCACTTTTTAGTCACCACTCAATCAGCTCTTATTTCTTCTTGAAATATTTCAACGTTCCTTCTGTGCAATGATAGGAATGGCGGCTGAAGCTGGCTAAAAAAATAATATAATAATGATAAAACCATCCAAAGAGTAATTCGCACCAAAAAAATATCAACATTGTTAAAAAAACAAACATGAAGAATTATTTATTTCGAATTTCGGGTTAAACTGCCCTTTAAAAAAAAGAAAGACTGTAGAGTTGAATACACACTTCTCACACAGATTGGGTGAAATACACTTAGTTTGATCATATTCTATCTATATAAATGTATTTAAATATAAAAAAAAGAATACTATTAATAAACCTATAGTGAGATATTATTATATTCTCCTCACACAGACCTGTAGAAGAATTGAATCTCCCTCTCCTCTTATTATTATTTTGATATTTTACGATACCCTCCATGCCTCTTGCTCACCTTGTTTTCCTCTCTAGGAGCTGAACAAGAAGCAGACCCTGAAGGACCTGGACTGTGCGATGCTCCTCCGGCACCACGAGACCACCCAGGAGCTGGAGTTCCGGCAGCTGGGTTTGGTGCAGCGGACGCGGGCCGACCTGATCCGCACGCAGCACCAGACGGAGCTCACCAACCAGATGGAGTACAACAAGAGGCGCGAGCAGGAGCTGCGGCAGAAACACGCCGTGGAGGTCCGCCAGCAGCCCAAGAGCCTCAAAGTGAGTGAGGAGGGAGAGGGCAAGTCCGCAGAGGGGCCGGGCGGCCGCTGGGACGGCAAGGCGGGGGGAGCCGGAGTAACGGACGGGGAGGGAGGGGAGATAGAAACTGATAGGGAGGATAAGGAGATGTGTGATGTTGAGCGCGATGGAGCAGGTGTGGAGGAGGGCGAGGGTGTCCCTGGGTTAGAAAGGACAGACAAGTTAGATGGAGACGTTAAAACAAAGGGAAACGAGGAAGAGAAGGACGAGTGGAAAGTGAGTGAAGAGGGGACAGAAGAGAGGGAGGTAGAAGGAGGGCAGTGGGAGGAAGAGGAGGAAGGTAAAACACATGTAGAAACAGACGAGGAGGAAGAGGAGGGCAGGGGCGTGGCCGACGGCTGTCCCTCAGAGTTCATCTCGTCCCTGTCCCCGGAGAAGAGACGTCTCCGCGAGCGCATCGACGAGCTCTCCGAGTTTTACTTCCCCGACGTGGAGGAGGAGCCCGCCCCCGTCTCCCCCCCGTCCCCCGCTCAGACTTCCTTCCCTTCCCTCTTCTCCCACGCTATCTGCCTCCTCCTCTCCCTCTCCGCCGCTGCCCAGCCCTCCAACCTCACCCTGCTGCTCCTCTCCATCTTCCTCCTCTCCCTGCGCCGCTCCCCCCCCCTCCCCTCTGTGGCGTCTCTCATCCTCTCCACGGAGCTCGCCCTCTTGGCGCTCTTCTTCTCGTACCTCTTCCTGCGCTCCTGCTGCTCCCTCTCTCTCTCCACCTACCTGTCGCTCAGCCTGTGGGCGAGCGGGATCTTCAGTTTAGGGCTCTCCTTCAGTCTGGGGATTTACTACATCCCCATGATCCTGGTTTCTGCCTCCTTCCTCTCCTCTCCCTCCCTCTTCCTCTCTCTCTACTTGGTGGTGGTGCTGATAGTCAGGCCGGCCCGAGAATTCCTCCAGCACGCACCCCGCAAAGTGAACCGCCTCTATATGCGGGTTCTTTTCCGCCTGCCTCGCCCTCTGTTCGCCATGTGCCAGTCGGTTTTCGGCGGCATGGCAGAGCGTAACCTCTATGAAATGTTTCCCAAAGCGGGGCGCAACTGGGGCGGGCGCCAATCCAAAATCCCTGTCCCCCTTAAGAGCCTGCCGTTAGAGCACCAGGCTCGCTGCAGTAACGCCTCCCCCCTGGCCAAAGGTCTCCTCTGGGTGAAGCGTTTCAGCCGGCGGCCCCTCGGGGTCCTGGCAGATCTGGCTAACTCCGTAGTGCTAAAGTTTGCCGAACGGCTCCTCAAAAAGATGCCTCTAAGTGTCCGGATCAAATTCCAAACGCTGGGCCTCACGAGGAGGGAGAACCCGAGCCGGCTCCCCCGACTGCTGCCCAGGGAGGTGAGGGAGAGGAGGCAGAGGGAGAGGAGGGGGAGAGAGAGGGAGAGACAGAGGAGGGAGGAGGAGAGGTTTTTCCGTGAGGATGTGAGGTGGGAGTGCGGGTTGAGACGAACTTCATCCGGAAGGTTTGTCAGGGGGAAAATCCGGCCATGGAGATAGAGTAGATAATGAGAGACCAATGGATAGAGTGTAAAACATGTTCTGGTGGTGTGTGTGTTTGTGTGTGTGTGTTACCATGCTCCCTGTCCAACCATCATGTGTGTGTCTTTTTGATTTGGGACCACACGACTCTCTTTGTTACATAACTCCCAAACTGGTTTTTGGTCACATTTCCAAAAGATGAGACACAGTTCCCCCAACGTGTGTGCACACAAGCCGTACTGTGGTGGGCCGTGCTGATGTAAACAGCTGAACCCACCATTACTGTACCAAACCCAGTGAAGTTCCATTATTGTGCTTTTTGTAAAAGTTGTTATTGTTATTATTTTTGCTCTTAATTTGTAAGACATATTTTATTGTTATTTTTTAAGACCAGTTTTGTGCAATCTGTAGTTTTTCTTTCATAGTGGTCTTATCTTCAAAGGGTGCACTGTTATCTCGGTGCGTAGAACAAATATTACAGTGTTGCAAAGCTGGCTATAATTTCACTCCCCAAAGCTGAAAACTGTGAAAAGATATGAAAATAACCTAAAGATTTCACTAACGTCAGCCTAACACTAGCCCTCAGTCGGTAAAAAGTGCAATAAAAAGCTGAACAGAAAAATCTTGGACCACTGCGAGACGTTTGATCGAATACAGCGTAGTTTATCTGTTTAGGGGTCCAAAGTGTGAAATACTTGCTTACGTTGGACTTCAAATATTAAAACTTCGGGCCAGTTAGCGGGAACAATAACGCTTGATAACACAACCAAAGGATATTATTTACAGCTGGTGAACTCATATATTTTACACTCTAGTTAGATATACTGTTATTGCTCTTTATGCAATAATATTTGTTATGATTTACCATGTAAACATTTAGATATTTGTACCGTCAGTAATCCTATTCATGTTCAGCAGTTGAGTGCCTAGTTACAACTGTTGGCACGAATGTTAATGTCTCTTGTGAAGTGGCGTATCCTAAAGTAATAGTGGGATTATAAGAATGCAGAATATACGTGGAAGTAGTGAAATATAATAGAAAACGTATTTAATATTTCAATGTAGCCTAATTTATATGAAGCCATATAGACAATCGTTTGAGACATGCAATCGTAAAATAAGTCCAAAGATTGATGCAACTACTGAATGTGAAAGTAAAAATTAAGCGGTTAAACATGATATGAAAATAAGATATCCAGTAATGGCACACGTTTATTTTTGCACTTTCCAAAAGACAATTAAAAAACAAAAGTAGAAGAGCAGATTACTTCAGATAAGTGCAAATATTTTCACTTTTGCCGTATGCAACTTACAAAAAAAATATAAAAACATAGTGTTCCAACGTGATGTCTTCCGGTATCTTGTTTTGTTTGATTAAAAGATGTTATGTTTGCATTGCTATTATATGACAGGGAACAATAACAAATCCTCTGAATTAAGAAGCTGGAACCAGAGGTTTATTGGCATTGATATGTATTTTTGCTTTAAAAAATCAAACCAAACAATGAATACCCAATCAGACCAAAAAAGACACGTGAGCGTTTATAGCAGCGTTTCCATCTAATGCTTTTGCAATCTTAAAGACTAAACACCAAAATGCTCTGGTTTTAGATCAAATGAAGTCAAATGAAGCCCACATTGCATAGATCTGAGAGAACTTTTAGAATGAGTTCAAATGCATTAGTACCTATCGATGCTAATTATGTAGGAGACTAAAGGCCCTGTACTGTATATCACAGGAGAAGGACTTTTGAGCCACTTAAATGGAGGGCTATTTCTGAGTAGGAAACCTTGATCTTAATCCAGGTAAAAGAAGAAAGTAGGGCACTTTATTTTTGGTGACCTGCATTGAGAAGTCTAGCTTTAAAAAAAAAAGACACCATTTTTTTTTTTTTTGAATGTAACTTATTTGCCATTGAATTTCATGTGTGGTCCAGTATCGTTTATCTCCTGTTCCTCTGTGTTTGTTTACATGTGTGTATTCTGTTTTGTTGTGACACCGTTTCCACAGTTACATCACTTTTTTTTAAAATATTTTATTTATGCAGTATTTATAAGAAAAGTACTGCATTCTGTTTGGCAGCCATTTTGTTGTCCCTTTATTCTCATTTTAGCTGCATGAGTGTTGGCGTACTGTATGGCTGTTTGCCGCAAGCAGAGAGAAATATTTTGTCATAAATCCAGATTTTTTTTTTTTTCTTTACACAAAAATAAATTATTTTGTGTGAAACTCATTGTCCCGTTTGTTTTTATGATTTTTGTCTCCATTATTACCTTGTCTTCATTTGTTTACCCCCCCCCCTCATTTATCAACAAATCTTGTTTTATTTAAAGATCCCTTTCACCCTTCCTCCTCTATCTCACATTTGATCTGTTATCGTCTGATGCCCTTCCCTTTGTCGGATATCCACCAAACATAATGCCAACAGCTTCTGTGGCTTTTTAATAACAAAGCTTACATACGTTAAAGGGTGTTAAACTGGTATACAATCGTTCATAGGACTCACACGATTTCTGTGTTATTTGATGAAGCAAATTTCTTATAATGCCAAACTAAAAGGTTAAATAATATTGTATTCTTTAGGAAATGCAACACATTTTTCATTTTAAGTGTCGATACAAATTAATTAAATTAAGGAGGCATCTTTAAATCCAAATGTATTTTGGTCTGCTTATACGTTCCATGTTTAAAAAAGCGTAATGTTTTTTCTAACTACATTTAGTGACCTGAAATGTTTCAAAACATTGGGTTTAAACGGTCTTATTCAATCATTTGCATCTATAAGTGGAACTCCTTATTTAATGAAACAAAATACCTTTAAAAGAAAAAAAACACCTTTTAACACTTTCTTACATAATTAGGATTCATGTTTTAAGGCATTGACTAAAAATGGACTTCATTACACTCAAATAATTGCGTCCATGTATTATCAATTTAGTTTAAAACTGCTTTATTGCATTGAAAAACAATAATATTGCACAACCATTTTTTTTTTACCCAATGGAGGCACCCAAAACACTTATTATAATAATACAGCAAGATATAAAACAAAGCAGACCATAGAGAGGCATTGATGTCATTCTGGCCATGCTGCGGTCACTGTGGAAGATTCAACACCTGACAGGTATTTATACAACAGTTGTGATTTTCCTATGGAAGGCATTAGTTGGAGTTATGGTAACATTTTCTAACAATAATTTCATCATGATTTGTTACAAATATTCTTTAGTTTGATATTTTTCCCCATCATTTTCTGTGTTTACCATCCATCTCCATGTCCATAAATGAGCACCTGAGCCGAGCTGCTTCTCTCTCCTCTCCTGCAGTCCAAAGAGCTGCAGATCAAGCGTCAGTTCCAGGACACCTGTAAGATCCAGACCCGGCAGTACAAGGCGCTGAGGAACCACCTGCTGGAGAACACGCCCAAGTCGGACCACAAGGCCGTGCTGAAGCGGCTGAAGGACGAGCAGACGCGTAAGCTGGCCATCCTGGCCGAGCAGTACGACCACTCCATCAACGACATGCTGTCCACTCAGGCTGTGAGTAAGGCAAGGGGTCGTCGTTCATTTCACTCTCGCACCACAGGGGGTCCGCCCTGCCCGCACGCTGCCTGCCATCCTGCCCGACAACAACAACCTCCTGGTGCGCCTCCACCTAAACCCACATTTCCCAGCCTTATGCCTGTATTGCCCTCTTCCAAAACATCCCTTACCATTACATTCTCTCATTTTAGGGACTATGACATGTAAAATCTTAGTTAAGGGGATAAATGTTTGAATACTGTAAAAAGACAATTAGTTTAAGGTCCAGAGGTTACTAAAACTGTTTCTGCATAAGGGGCCATAAAGCAACATTATGTCACAATAGTGTCCCTGTATCAAAGCTTTATTTCCCAGTTTACAGTTATACTAACGTATTGATGGTAGAACCATAAAGACAGTTATGGAAACAGTAAATGTTGCACCCTATAGTTTGTCCAAATGTAGCATTGTCTTTTTCCAGACTTTATTCTGCATCATAGCATATCGACGGTACAGTTAAATGTATTAGTATTTACCTTAACCCTATTAAAATTACATTCATGTTATCTGTATTGGTGTCAATTGCTGATAACACTCTTAAAGTGCCATTTAAACTGTGTAAAGAAAGTAGTACAATATACATATAAAGCATAACATCAGTGCTGAAATGATATATTATTATGGGGTGGAATTTTACAATTGTAAAACTCCACATTATAAATGTTACTTATGCAAAAACATGCAAGTATTATTATGAAAACGGTCTTAAATGGATCAATGCTAAGAAAAAGTCCCTGTTAAAGAAATATATAAACTTAAAATGATTACAAGCACATCAGAAAATACTACATTTTGAGAAGCTGAAACCATTACACTTTTTTAAATTGGCAACTTAAACAATAATTGTTCAAATACTTTTGTAAAGTTCAAGAGCATTGCATTTGTACGTTTTTACAGTACGAAGTATATGTGCCTCGTTGATTCCCTGGTGAGGGTTTTACTTTTTAAACAGTCTTACATAGGGATCAGCCCCCCCCCCCCCTCTCCAGCTCGCCCCTGCCCTGTAAGCGTGCGACTCACACACATAGACAAATCTCGGGTGTTAAATGAATGAAACATCGTAGGAAGAGGACGTGATGTGAGGAAAGGTCTCGTTCCCTTCAGTGACGTAACGCCCTGTGCCACTTTAATTACCTCTCATCGTGCCATGTAAGCCCGGTAAGCCAAATCCCCGCTGCCCTTGTTCGTCCGCACATCTTCTTCTCGCCCTGCGGCCAAAGTCTCTTTGGGCCGGTTTCCCACTCACTGATTAAAGTCAATGCTGAGGTCAGAAACACAATATTGCTTTTAAGTGAAGAATTTCTTATGGAACATTTTTGTATCTGTTAGCTAGGCAGGTTAAAGAAGTGCAACATTTTATAATATTACACTGATTTATTAAGATCATTAATATATAAGTTATCAATATAAGGCAGTTTTCCTATTTACAGACCGACTTCCACTATTTCTGCTTGAAACATTTTAGTTTATCAGTATTATCAGCTTTTAATTTGACAATTTGTTTAATTTGTACACATACTTTTGACTTCCTCATATTCATTTCATTTCAAACCTTTATTTAATCAGATTGGTCCCTTGAGATCATAGATCTCTTTTTCAAGGGAGACCTGCAGCATATAGGTTCCACATGAAACATAAAACAATAAAGGACATCGTACATTATATTTACAGGATACATTTACATAGTTATAGACATTTACAAGTGCCCATAGTATCAACGAGCATTTCATTTAGCCTAGCTTTAAAAACATGCAGAGGAATGAGATTGCTCAGTTTCAATTCTTGATGAAGATTGTTCCAAGCAAGTGGAGCTGCGCACATAAAAGCTGTCTTAAGACAGTCCTTGCTCTTGGCACATCTAACAATACTACATCATGCGATCTCAGACAATAGCTGCTTGCAACTCTCTGTGTTATCAGAGAGCAGATATAATATGGGAGTTTACCCAACAAAGCTTTATAAATAAACGTGTACCAATGACTGAGCCTCTTTACAGTAAGTGATGGCAGACCTGCCTTGGCATACAGGTTACAGTGATGAGTAAGTGCTTTACAATTTGTGACAAATCTCAGTGCACTGTGATAGGCGGCATCTAACTTGTTCAGGCAATAGGCAGGTGCATTCATATACAACAAATCACCATAGTCCAGCACAGGTAAAAAGGTCACAGTGACTAGCCTTTTCCTGGCTTCAAAAGAGAAACAGGGCTTGTTTCTGAAAAAGAAACCTAGTCTAACCCTCAGCTTTTAAGCAGGTTATTGACATGAAGTTTAAAAGTAAGACAATCATCAAGCCAGATACCTAGGTATTTATAACAGGTAACCACTTCAAGTACTTGTCCTTGCATAGTAACAATATCTCTGCAGGCTCTGGTGTTTTTTTAGCTTTTGAAAATAGCATTACCTTGGTTTTCTCAACATTTAAAAGAAGCTTTAGTTCAGAGAACTGAGTCTGAATAATGTTAAAAACAGCCTGTAATTTAACACCAGCCTCCTGAATGGAGGGACCTGCACAGTACATCACGGTATCATCCGCATAAAAATGTAAAGTAGCTTCATTCACATTTTCACCTAAACTGTTGATATATATGGAGAATAAAAGTGGACCTAAAACAGAACCTTGAGGAACACCATTAGCAATGTTTAACCACTCAGAAGACAGTCCATCAAAGTGAACACATTGGGACCTTTCAGAGAGGTAGTTATTGAATACAGCATATCAAAACACTGTTTCCACAAACATACTCCTGCTCTTCTCCTCTCTGTGTGCATCTCCCTTTCTCTACCTTCGTGTCCTCAGCACTAAAGCACAATATACCGCCCATACAATCGTGCCAAATGCATCTTTTATTCATATACCTCTTATTTTCTGTCTCTCAGCTGCGATTGGACGAGACCCAGGAAGCGGAGTACAAAGTGTTGCGCATGCAGCTGCAGCAGGAGCTGGAGCTGCTGAATGCCTACCAGAGCAAGATCAAGATCCACACGGACACGCAGCACGACCGGGAGGTGAAGGACCTGGAGCAGAGGGTGTCCATCCGCAGAGCGCTGCTGGAGCAGAGGGTGAGACTCAATCACTGCTATGAAGCAAAGCTCTATCTAATAAAGGCCTCTGGTGAGGTTTAGTAATCCAGTTGGGCCTGCAGAGAAGATTGGAAACTGAAAGGCAACCTAGCTATAACGTTGTTGGATCAGATAACACTTTTTGCTGTCCGATGTTGAGACAATTAACTTCATATTTTCTACAACTATACCTTTAATAAGGTTAAGGGTTTAACCGCAAGGTACTCATAGGTAAACATAATCGTCACATAGTCTTCGCCAGTGGAGTTATACTTTAAAGATTTCCTGTCTGTGTAGATATCTAGAAAATAAGTGAACTTAACATAACAACAGGGCATCTCAATCTCCTGATAAAGATTTTGTGTTTTGATAAAGAGCCTCAAAAAAGCAACAAACTTGTGGTGAGTCTTCTCTCAAGTTTTCTCTCTTTTTTTGCGGAAAATTTAAATCTTGGATTGGGAAATTATGTTAACACCTTTTAGTAATGCTACAATTGAAAAGAAACATTACATTATGTTTTAAACTTTCTCCTAGATCGAGGAGGAGATGCTGTCCCTGCAGAACGAGCGCTCGGAGCGGATCCGCACGCTGCTGGAGCGCCAGGCCAGCGAGATCGAGTCCTTCGACTCTGAGAGCCTGCGGCTGGGCTTCAGCAACATGGCGCTGTCAGGCATCCCCAGTGAGGCGTACCCCATGCAGGGGGGCTACCCCAACGTCCCGCCCCCCAGCTCCCGCTCCGTCGGCCACTGGAGCCACGGCATACACCCGCACAACCTCCCCCCGCAGCACCTCCCCCCGCAGCACCATCCCCCCCAGCCGCACCCCCGCCGCAGCCACGCCAGCAGCAGCAGCAGCAGCGGCATCGGGAGCGGCAGCGGGGCGGGGGACCGCCGCAGCGAGGCCTCCTCCTCCTCCTCCTCCTCCCATGCCCTGGGACTGGCCCTGCAGGGGCTGGGGCGGGACGGGAGGGAGGTGCACCACTCGTCCCGCTCCTCCGCCTCTTCTTCCTCCTCCTCCTCCTCCTCTTCCTCCCACCACCAGCGGCACCACCTGCCCCAGCACTACCACCACCAGAGCACGCCGCAGCTGTACCGCGAGAGGGAGCGGGATCGAGACCGGGAGAGGGAGCGGGAGAAGGAGCGGGAGCGGGAGTGGGCCGGAGTGCGGGGCTCCGGCGGCGACCTGGCCCATCCTCACCCCCTGCCCTTCTCCCATCACCTGCCCTCTCGCTCCTCCTCTCAGTCCCTCGCCATGCTACCTCCCCCGCCGCCCGCCCCTCCCTCCATCTCCGGCCCGTCCTCCTCTTCCTCTTCCTCCTCCTCCTCACAGGGGGGGATTTACTCCGGAGGGCTGGGTGTGCGGGGGGCCCCCAGCCTCCTGGCCCTGAGGAACAGCCCCCAGCCTCTGAGGAGGACGGCGTCCGGCGGGGGGCCAGGTGGGGCCGGGGGCAGCGACGGCGTCCTGAGCCGAAGCACCTCGGTCACCTCACACATCTCTAACGGATCCCACCTCTCATACTCTTAGTCGAGAGGGGGGTATCTTGCAGGGGGGGAGTGATCTAGGAAGGTAGCTATCTCAGGGTGCATCTCAATACTCTCAGCTTGCCTTTTCATGCCCTCCATCTCACTGATCTCTCCTCAGAATATCTCAAACGCAGAGGATTTAGGGATATCACCCTTTCCTCTTAACGCACAGTGAAGCAGAGATCAGTAGGGGGGGGGGGAGAGGACAAGCTGACTTTGCTGAGCTGCTCCTTTAGACTCAGGGCGGGTAGAGAGGCTTTCTCCCATTCCCACTGGTGTATAAAGGGAGGGAGGAATGTAACCACCTGTAATACCACTGGATAAAGGTGGTATTATATTTAAAAAAGAGGTTTGTGTTCAGTGTTTTTATCTTTGTTACTGCCTGTATAAAAGTGAGACAGGAAGTGTGAAATAGGGATGTTTTACCGTTTCTTCTCCCAGAGCTGCAGAGAAAGTAGACGGCAGCCATGTCTTCTTCTATGATGTTCTTTGATTGAATGGAGAAAGAGAGAGGACAGGGGGAGGGAGAGGTGTTTTTCTGCATTGTGTATGTACTTGTATGTAATCTGTAGTGTTCAGATATATCTAGCAAGCACTCGTAAACTGCGGCTCCAGAAAGGAAAAAGGAGGAGAATCACAAAAGAGGAAGTCTCCAGTCTGCGGGGGGATTTAAAAACACTTTTTATTGATTTACAACGGTTGATGTTTTGTTGATTTTTTTGTATTAAGTGTATAAAAAAACCACAAAAACAAGTTGCTTGGAACGTCACCAATGCCTTTAAGGGGTTCTTAAAGGGATGTCGTGCCATCAAAGTTTTTATTTGATGACTGCGAGATAATTTAAACACCGAATGTTTGTAAAGGCAAAAAGACTCTGTTCTAAAAATGCAGCTGGGATGAAGAGAAACATTTGTGAGGACATGTAAAAATACAAAAGAAAAAACAACAACTTTCCATGACATATTGAGTATCTGAACAACATAGGTGTCAATGGGAGTCACTCCAATGCATGAGATAGATGTACAAAAAAAAACATTCGTAAACATGACCACATTTGAAACGTGCCGTACCTGTCCGAAGATCGCTCGTCCCACCTTTTTGATCTTTACTGTACATATTTATGGGGATATAAAAAAAAAAAACACAAGTCATTGGTTTTATAGAGTAACAAAGATAATGATAGTAATTTTGATATATTCAAGTGAGTATTGAATTCAAGATTTAGAGCGACAACTCCAACTGCATTTTCTATAGGTGTCAATATTACCATAACTAATCCTGATGTATCGTTGTTGTAACCATGTTCACAATTTTCTCTCGCGAAGAAGAAAAAAAAGGGCCCACTTTTGACTGTAATTAATAATGATAAAAACTGTTGTCAGGTATGGTGTGTGTTCAAGATATTAAGGATTATTAATAATGGGTTATTAATAATCCTTAATGATTCATGTATGTGTCTGGTTATATTGCCACTTTATTTTTTATTTTTAGACAAAATAATTGCATTTTTAAAAGACACTCGTAAAGCAGCAACACCCCACTTACTAACCTCCTCCTCTGGACTCATGGAGAAGAGATTTTACAATTAGGCACTGGAATGTAAATGCTGTTTTTTCCTTTTTCTATTTATTTGTTTTTAGCGTAGGGAAAACGTTCCACGCGTAAACTCTCGAGGACAGAAAGAGAGGAAGAGTTGGCACAATCCTTGCCGATAATCTCACTGGGTGCAGCATGACTGATGTGTGAAAAACAGGAGAAGAAGAAAAGGAGGAAGTGGGAGGACGTGCGTCGACTGAGCTGCTGTGAACCTGCACCCTCTTGTGCCGGCACAGCAGCAGTGACCGCAGCAGCACGTCCTCCCAAAAAAAGAAGATGACACAAATCAGTGTTTCATGGTGATTCACACTGAAGGTTTCTTTACTTGAAGTAGAAAAAACTGGACTTTTTTTGTTCTTTTTTATGTTATTTGAGATGAAAAAAAGATAATCACCCTGCTGTTTGTATGACACAGAAACACCAGCTCAAGACAATTCCCTGTATAACCTACTACTTTATGCTCGGTTGGAATCTCAGTGCATGCATGAACTCCTTATATAAACTAAGACTGGCGGGTTTCAGGCCTTGTGTTGCGGGAAGTCGCTGTGGTAGTGTTTTTAGACGGGTTGTTGTCAGTGTCAGAGGTCAAGGCCGAGGGCAGGGAGTCTCAGTCCCTGAATCGCGCCCGGAGGAAAGTTGAAGACGAAGAAGCAGCACAGGATCGTCTGTGTTTTGCAGAGTTTTCGAGATGGGGAAGGGAGGGGGGGAGTTGGGGGTTGAAACCCTTATCAAATACTCCAAATCAAGCTTTTCCAAGCCTGACAAGGACAAAGGAAGAAGGGTCTTGACACATGTATTGGAAAAGAAATGGGGTGCTTTAAAAAGTAATTTAAAAAAAGATAATAAATTGATATTAACACATTAACTCGTCGTGATTTGATATGTTTTAATCGGATGGCATCATTTATTAAGATGTTTATTACAAGGCTGAAACTGATCGGTTGGTAAAAAAAAATACATTCTACATTTTCAGATTCACAAATTAGCTTGTTTTCTTGGTCTTTTAGGATATTCAACTTTAATATCTTCATTTTTTTACGTTTGCATATGTCAACTTTGGCTTTGGGAAATTATGTACAATACTTTTTAACAATTTTATGAATAGAGAGAAAAGATAAAAACCCATTTCAATGTCCCAAAGCCCATGTTTACATATGAATGTGTTATTTTGTTCCAATAACAGTAAACCCCTCAAATGAGTTGGTTTGCTCTCATATTCACACTTAAGAGTCTGTAAATAGTGAATGTGTGAGATTTTAACTGAAGATCATGATAAATCGTTTGTTAGGGCTTCAAGTAAGTACAAATATATTATAACATTGTTGAATATTGCCATAACAAAATACTGTGTGTGCTGTGAAAGCTATTAAACTGGACTCAGTTCTGCCTTTCAGCTGTATTTCAGCAAATTGCTTGTTAAAGTAAAAATAAAATGATATCCAACATTATTTAATTGAAGTTAAAAACCAAAAAATAGTTGATATCCAGATGACTATCCTATTAATAATAGTTGATTAATTATTGACTAATCCAGTAAGCATTGAGTTTTTTTTAAATAAAGATTTGGAGGTGTGTTAAGAATTAGGTTAAGAATACCATATGTTATGCACAATATGTATTTGTATATATATTTTACAAAGCAGGCTGTTTTTATGCCCGATTATGCTCGTCCATTGTGCGTGCATGCTGAGCAGCTATTCGTCCTGGTTACTATATCTGACTCTGACATCATGCCGACGCACCTCCCTTTAAGATGCGTCAGTCATCTGTCCGTTAATGGAGTCATTCAGGCTGTTTTCTGCAGGAGGAGATCTACATTTAGCGTCGGCCGACAAACACCAGGAAGGGAAGGGGGACGGAAATGAGAGGGGGGTGTCTAAAGAGGAAAACCCTCTCCCTTTAAGAGCAAGTGGGACATAGCGGTGCGAGAAAAGGAGAGGAGGGGGAGAAGAAAGAGGAATTAAAAAAGAAAAGGAAGAAAGAGACAGGGAGGGAGGAGGGAGAGCGGGCGATAAAAAAAGAAAGATGACATCCTCGCAGCTGAGCGGCCGAGGTGGAGCGATAGGCTGCGGCCGGCCGAGAGCGCCTCTCTCCGGGGTCAGAGCGTGAACCAACAGCGAGGCTTCGACAAACACCCGATTGGCCTATTGGGGGGAAATCGGAAAAAATAGATTCATAAATTAAAAACAAAGCATGACCTGCTGTGCTGCCAGATACGTGTGTTATAACCCTTTTTTGTTCTCTTGCGTGAAAAACATTTATTTTAGTATGTTTTTAGCGAAAGTGTGATAGTGTAATATGCGATTTTTGTTGTTTTTACCAAGCAGTTTTGTTGTGTGCGTTTTAGTGAGATTAGTGTGCAGGGGAATTAAAGTTAGAAACCAAAGTGAAAAGAGAAACAGGCCATTATTGTTGGACCTGGCCTGCTCCACTACTGCCTGTGTGCTGCAGCCTGAGTTAGTCAACAGCTGCGTGCATTTTAATGGCCAGCATTAGGCTACCTCAATGAGAAAAACATATTTTTGCAGACGACTTTATCCACGTTTTTCACGCAAATCCAGAAGCCCGTGGTTTCTGCTGCAGGACAGGCGACTGTGTGCGCCTCGATCTCCGGTGGGCCGATCAAAACCATGCGAAGGCAGACCTGCCCGATTTCAATCAGGACTTTATAATCTCCATCGCTGTGGCGCAAAATGGATGCTGCTTGGAGCAATTTTCTCTTCCAGGTAGGCTTGTTGATCAGGCATTACAGGCCTCTTTTTCTGCCCTCATTTTACTGCGCGCATGTTCTCACAGTGTGTGTCCAGCAGCCCTCACCTCATCTCGTATTTCAACGTAGCACCTCAAGATAATGCTGTGACTTGTGTTTACATTTGGTGATGGCCTTCTACTTGCTTCTCCAGAATACTCCCACCCAAAACCAAGTGGAGGGGAGCCTCCAATCAGAGCTCATGCAAGTGCATACGAGTTCTCCCCAAACCCCACCCACAGAGCACATAGCACAGCCTCCTTCAACTGTGGACACTGCTGCTCTCAATGAGGAACCCCTGCCTGGTGAGGGACACTGCACTACATCCTACACCTGTGGAGCTGACAACAGTAAATACATCCCACTTCACTCTGATCTGCATAGTATGAAAGTCAATGAGGTGATACAAGTCTAGTGACCTCTATTTTGGTGATGGCAGGTGAACAAATAAAGAATATCTGTATTATTTTCATGGCCCAAAATTCAAAAAGATTATTCTAAACAATGTGAAATTCAGACACTAATACATCCAGGATATCCGGACAGGGTTATCGGTATCTCAGTGTTTATTTGCTTGATAAAGGTGCTTTTCCCCCTTTTAAATTTGCCAAACATTTAGAAACACAACTTTGGAAATTATTTTCAAAACATTAAGTGGCTAGATTAAGCTTTGGTGCTTAGCAGAGCTCCAATTTCTGATTAGAGCAAAAGCAATACGTTGATTAAACACTTACCGGAAATTTAGCAGGCAGCTATTTACTACAGGCAAGCCATTTTTTTTGCAATTACGCCCAAAGGTCACTGCTTTCAGTGTCACCAATGTGCATGCTTTCTAGTTTACATTGCCTTCTATGATAGTGAAATAAATATTTTAGGATTTTGCAACATTGTTCAAACAAGCAAAGTCCCCTTTGGCTCTCATGGTCCACATTTCTCCCTATTTCTGAATTGATAATACTCAGACAATAAATGTTGGTAATTTAAACTATATACGTTTTTTCTTCAAATTTCCTTTTTTAGCCGGAGGCTTTATTGTATTTTCACCTGCAGATTACCAAAACATGGTCGACTGTGAAGATGTAAAATGTGGTCATTGTTGCAACACATGATCACTTGAAATCAACTAAGATATCACCATTTGATGATCTGTTTGTATACTCTGTAAACCAATTTTCTTGATTGAATAAATATAGCTGGTACCTTAACTGCATTTAAGGTTATGATGAGTATATACAAAAATAAAAAAAAACACCTTCTTTGAAATTAACATTTTCCTCTCTCCCTCCCCCCCCCCCCCGCCTCCCTGCGGTCCAGTGAAGCCCGTGTCCCGGCCCGGCCGCGTGCCCCACATCTGTGCCATCTGCAACAAGCAGTTCAAGAACAACTACAATCTGCGGCGGCACCAGTCGGTCCACACCGGGGTACGCATGAAGGACAGGGCCAGAGAGCAGGCGGAGGGGGCAAAGGAGGGCGCCGCGGCCCCGTCGGCGATGGCGGGGGGGGCCGGAGGGAGGGTGGAGAGGACCACTGTTCCCCTCTCCCTGCTACACCTCTCCGCTCCTCCCCCTCTCGCCCCTCCCGGCGTGCTGGCGTGGTCCCTGCAGATCCCTCTGGGTAGTCAGGATGGTGAAGGGGGGGCCATGGCTAACGTAATGGCTAGTGTTAACCCCCACGCTCCGCCTCCTGCTGCTGTCGTCATGGCCACAGGGGCGACAGTACAGGTGGGTCAGGGCCTTGTGGAGATGGCTGTCGTCAACCCCAAACCTTCAAGCATGTTGTTTCTTAAGCTGCCTGGCCACAGGGATGGATAAGTCCCCCCCCTCCCCCCCGCTTCGTATTTGACTGAATTTCACCCGTGTGTTCAATACAAAACTGTCCATGTCCAGTAACCAGCTCAGGGACCAGTGAATTCCACCCCAGTATTTGGCACTGGTCCCCAGTTTGAGAGAACAACGTGCTAGAAGCCCCCCCACGCTCCCCTGCATGTTCTCTGTAACACAAACCGTGTGAAAGCAGATTCTTAAAATCCAGCAGGAAGTAGTTAATCTAACATCCGAATTAACTGTCAGTAATATTTGGCACATGTGCAACAAAGATATATCTGTGAGTTTCTGCATGGTTTTCAACAAACCACTGATTGTTTTCCTTCTTGTGTACATAACTAATTCTGTAAATAACTGTGTGTTTTTCTGCTTGTCTGTTTTGGCTCAGCGACCCTCAAATCCCAACCCAAACCCAGTAAGGAAAAACCATGCCTGCGAGACGTGCGGGAAGGCTTTCCGTGACGTTTACCACCTCAACCGCCACCGCCTGTCCCACTCTGACGAGAAGCCGTTCTCCTGTCACATCTGCCAGCAGCGCTTCAAGAGGAAGGACCGCATGAGCCACCATGTGCGATCCCACCAGGGAGGCGTGGAGAAACCCTACGTCTGCCCCCACTGTGGCAAAGCTTTCTCCAGGTAACACTGTGGTTAAAGTCTATAAAACATAAACTGTGATGATTGAGTAAGTTGAGGAGGAAGAAACTTTTTTATTTGTTAGGTCTCACTCCTTTAATACGTACAAAAACAAGATGTAAACAATGACAATGTAGCTTTAGATTGAACATACAGACATGAGAATGCTATCAATCTTATATAGAGTGGCGAAGTCCCTCCCCTTCCGGTGGACCTCCATAGGACCTTATTTTGGAAAAATCATGTATTGAAGTCAATGGAGAGAGAAAGATTATCTTTTGATCCCGTTTGAATTGTGCCACGAATTACACATATGATGTTTGTCAATTTAAAAGATAATTTTGCAAGTCAAAAAAATTAAAATGTGTCGTAAAATTGTGAAGTAACACATTTGTTTGTGTGAAGCGCTCAATGAACTACAACTCTGGTCTTGCATACGTCACCAACACCAAGATGGCCGTCACGTTAGCACATTTCACCTCTTTCTTTCAGAATGAAGTGAAACGTATTAAAATAGGTGAAAATCACTACAAGTCTGGCCATGTTGAGAACTGTACGTACACACAAGGGGAGTTAGTCGGTTCCGTAAGAGCCAGTATGCGGGACCGGCTTTACAAGGTTTTGGTGAGTAACACGAGTAATGTGTAATGTACGCGACTCTGGGATTTGTAGTCTTTCTAGTTGCGTATTTTTCATAGTCTTATATTTCAACAGTTTTACGACAAACTGTGACTTTTTTGACATGGAAATTATTTTTTAAGATTGACAAACATCATATGTGTAATTCATGGCACAATTCAAACGGGATCGAAAGATACGTTTTCTCTCTCCATTGACTTCAATACATAATTTTTCAGAAATAAGGTCCCATGGGGCGGAAGTAGATGGGCGTGACTTCGCCACTCTATAAAGCAAATAAGCCTATTTCCCAGAATATTGAACTATTCCTTAATAAAAGTGCTCAGGAAATAATATTCTCTACATTTTAAGATGTGCCATTACTTTTTAAAAAGGTACATTTGAAAGTATAAAACAGAATCCCACTTCAGACAGGATGTCTGTCCTTGTTTTCATCAGCTGATACGTGGTCACAATTGGTCACAATCAGTTTTTGGTCCTAGTCCCCTAGAGAAAAAGTGTTCTTTATTCTAAAAAAATATAAAGCTCTACCTATTCTAATATGTTGACTCTTTCTTTCCGTAGGCCTGACCATCTGAACAGTCACGTCAGACAGGTGCACTCGTCGGAGCGACCCTTCAAATGCCCGGTGAGTCAGGTATACACCGTGCTCATTATTAAATTCCAAACAGCTAAAAACGTGCTTTCCAATTACTATGGAAAATGATTTGGATAAAGTGAAAGCCTCTTTTAAACAGTATTACTATTACCAATATCTTTAACCGCAGCAGCTCACTGCCAGATATTTACAAGTAGATAACATACTGTATACATTCTCAGAACATATAAAGTATATGAGGTTATTTTTCAAATAAGAGTTGTAAAGCATTAGCTATTGGCACATATTTTCAAACTAAGAACACATTGGTGTATTTAAGTTTTTGGTTTAAAAATGTCTCGATAATCACTTTCCTTTTTCCAAAAAAATGTCAGACTTGTGAGTCCAGTTTTGCCACGAAGGATCGTTTGCGTGCGCACATGATTCGCCACGAGGAGAAGGTCCCCTGCCACATCTGTGGGAAGCTGCTGTCCGCTGCATACATCACAGATCACATGAGGGTGCATAACCAGTCCCAGCATCACGCTTGCCACCTCTGTAACCGCAGTAAGTTTGTACAAAAGAGTCTAACATCGTTATTTTCATATTTAATGTTAACATGACTACACATGATAAATCCAAAGATGTTATCCTGAACTCTGTGGAGCATTAAAACAGATTCTCTATGGTTTTCTGCTCTACATTTTTTAAATTTCCAGCCATAGCATGTAGCTGTTCTCGCTTTGATAAACACACTGCATGCTATCTTCCCAGCACTAAGCACGCAGACACATTTAGAAACTAACTGCTGAATATAGTGGAGCACTCAGCAGCTAAAGAGCGAAATATTTCCCTCAGGAGTTGGTAGAAGACAAAGGGTGAAAGGGCCTTAATGATATTAAACTTTCTTATTAACTTTTTCCTTCTGCCTCCGCTCTCCTCCATCAGGCTTCACCACGCTGACCTACCTTCGTGTCCACGCCCAGAAGCACCACGGCCAGGAGTGGAAGGATAGTCCGGGGGGCTTCGGTGGCTCGGCCTCCGGCGGCATTCTCGTCTGCCACTTGTGCGGCATCCACTGCAAGACGCCCACCCAGCTCCAGGGGCACATGGGCACCCATGGCAACAACCAGGGTGTCCCGAGCCCCATCACCTCCAATGTGGCTGCCAGCAGCTCCGTCTCCCTTGGCAACATGGTGACGGTGCCAACTGTTTATGTCACAGGCAACACGGTGGTGGACCTGCTTGTCACAGACTGCTCGAGCATCGCAGCGCCACAGTCCCACAGTTAGCAGCAATAATAACCTCAAACCTTTAACAGAGGGCAGGGTTAGAAAAGGTCAAAGTTACAGGTAGATGTTTGTAATGTCCCCACTTATAGGTAAGGATTAAAAGGTGGGGGGGATTAAGTCCAGTCAAGGGCAGTATCACCTCAGAGCTGCAGAGCATCGGAGGAAAGTGGACGGTATTAATAGCAATGAATTCACGAAAAAAATATACCTTTGTGGCAGTAGCAAGGTTCATTGACACTAACGACAAACATGGATGTGCAGTGTTTCCCCTAGGTTTACTGCTTTGGGGGGGGGTGCTGTCTGAGCGTGGGGGGGATTTTTTAAAATCCTCCGGAGCCGAGAGAGGAGCTGTGGATTATTGTTATTGATTAATGCATCAGTGTTTCTTAGGGTCAAAAACACTAAACTCACAACTTAAAAGGAAAGCGTTCAGTTTATTTAATAAAAGAGCACATGTTCAATGTGAAAAGTGACGGTAGATATAGATTAGTTGCAATTTGGTGCTATATATATAAAAAAAAGAAATGTATACTTTTTTTTTTTAAAACACCTTGAATTTCAGGGGGGGCGTGGGGCTCCGTTGGCGGGGTGCAGCCCCCCTCCAAGACAATGGTAGGGGAAACACTGATGTGTTGTCCAAATATTCCTGGGTGCTCTTGTGCTTTTGAGACTCCAATGAAACTGTGGCATTGTGAGCATCTACTGTATTACTCTCTCCTCTCTGCCCCCCCTCTCTCTTTGTCCCCTTTCCCTAAACCCTGGCATTGGCTGCTCTCTACAAGTGCACCAAGTACTGTATATCTCACACCAGCTCTGATCTTACCTCCATTTTGCAGCTCACTTACCAAGAATCCAAATGGCTTGCGTTAAGAAGTAGTATGGAGAGAATAGCTCTCGTAACAAACAAACCAGTAGAAAGGAAAGTTGTGTGTTTGGGTGTGCGTGTGTAAGTCAGGGTTCGTCTAGCATGTTAGCTTGTTTGTTCACAAAAACTAAAAAAATCAACATTTGATTTTGCAAAGCTGCAATGGCAGATTATTAAGTCTCTCGAGGGCTGTTTGATCAGGACAGGAGGCCATACGTGTTGCGGTGGGTATGGAATTATGGGATGTACTTGTTCATTTGTTTCTAAAGGTACAGAAATAGGAATAGGGTTTGCGTTCAGGAGTGTCAAGCACCTTAAATCGTTATTGTTTGATTCAGCGAGGATCAAAATGGGTTTGAGATTTATTGGATTTTTCTTGCTCTTGAGTCTTCCTCTCTCGGTCTGGCCATTTAAAAAAAAAAAAAGACAAAAAAAGAAACATAAATGCTAACCAACACTTCAGCTTCTGACATGGCAATTCTTGCACCAGAAAACTACCGTTTGCATGAGAATAAGCTAGCTCAGTCATGCTAATTATTAGGGAGCTGTCATGACAAAATAAACAGTTTTGCAGTTCCACCTAGTTGGCTGTAAAACAATAATATTTATAAAAGTGTTGATTTTTATTCAGAACATTTTAACATTGTCGGCCATTCATTTGATTGTAACTGTCATTGCCATAGTCCGTCTTTGTTTTCTCTATGTATCAGTCCAATGAGTGAAACTTATGCATTAGATTTAGTCATTTAACTCTGTATAGCACATAACGCTCTGAACGCAAGTCATTCGTTCTACATTAATCACGTAAAGAATGGTAATTTGTCCCGTTGGATATCTTTGGTTGCTTTCAGTTGTATTGTGAGTGACGTGGTGTTGAGGAAAGGGCTTATAAAGTCAGAAGTACAACGCGAGTTCGATAACACCACTTGGTATGCTGTAAACATTTCCTGGTTTTGTACTGGAGTGCTTTCTCAGTTTTGTGTTATTATGTTACCTTAAAATTCGTAGAGTTGTTTCTTTCTTCCTTTTTGTTTTCTTTTGGAAATGTGTTGTTCCTGTTGAGAAAAAGTATTGATTGATTAAAAAGTTAATTTTAGATTTTCCTCCATAACACTAAGAAAAAAATAATACCTCTACCCTAGATTCTGTACAGCTATTGTTATACATCTTAATGCCTTATCGTACTCAACTGCATTTTAATTATTTTATGATGAAATATTTCAAATCTTAGTCATGAATTCATTAAGAATATTAATGGGATGTATTTATATTTATATTTTTATATTTCTCAACAGTATGCATGTCTAAAAGGTTGTTAGAGCAAAAAAAACGACGATGCTTAATACAGTCATAGATATTATGTTATTTTGTAGATGAAGTAGAGACCATGTTATTATTTTGTTATTTGGACAATTTAAAGTAAAAAGAGTAAACGGGCTTTGTGTTGTGTGTTTGATCTTTTCACCTACTGCTCTGACATTTATACCTGAAGCGTCATCCGTAACACTTACAGAACACAGCTTTAGCATAACATTAGCATACTGACTGTTTCAGTGGAAATGTTTCCTATTGTTAACTTCCCAAATGTGGAAAATGTGACTTCACGTAAACATAACTCAACAGAATGTTTCCCAGCAATACAAACAAAAAAGTTTATATTAACTGGAAGGTGTCTGCCTCTCCTCATCATCACCATCATCATCATCATCATCATCAACGTGTGATAAATGCATTCAATATTTTCCGTCAAGAAATTCCTGACAAAGTTGTTACATGGCTATTAAATTAGTTGACAGAATACAGGATGTGATTTTTGTAACTTATGTGTTATACCAATCTGTTTCGTTACAAAGTGTGACTCAGCAATACTGTATAGAGAAGCGGACACGAATAAGGTCCAAAATATCTAATGGAATCAACTTAAACAATTACGTTATAAAGCTGGGATCTTTCTTAGCTACTAAATCGGAAACTAAATGTGTGTGGTCTTTTTATTTAAGGCAAGTGTTTAATACATTTGACACTTGAGACAAGACTGCTCCTATTCTGTATGTTTTGTGACTAAAACTGTAACATTGTAGCCTACTCAATTTGTCTTACAGGCTTCTGGTTTGACTTTTAGATTACATCTTTATAGTGTAAACATTTCGTACGATCTCTAAAATGTTCATTAACATTTCTAGCCTATCAGGCCCAGTGGTGGAAAAGGTTGAAGGTCAAATGCTTTGCAAACTTTCTTTTTAAAGTTCTCCTTCTGCATACTTGTTATCAAACATATTTTCCTGAGTTTTTATTCTTAATTTATGATTTGATGCTTTTAAATGTTGGCACATATTCATATCTGTGTACTTATTTCACCTGAACATACCTGTGTGTGGCATATACAGTATGTGCTCTCCTTGCATACACTAAGGAAACTAATACTTAGGGACAGCATGTGTTGCAAGGTTTGCATGCCTACAAAATGTCAGGTGTATGAGCCTACAAACATATACTGAGACAAGCATCAATGGATAACTAAAAAGGCCCAGGGGCCCAGCCAGGACAATCTCTAAAATAACCACAAAAAACATTAAACAACTACCAAAAGGCTTCAAAAAGACCACAACCCCTACAAAGAGATGCAAAACAGCTACAAAGAGACCACAGAAAGCCCCCTATGAAAAGGGGTAAACAACAACTGAGAGACACAACATTGCTACACAAGCATAAAAATAACAGCTATTAAAGAGAAACAACACGCCCACAAAGACACACAAAACCACAGAGATGAGCAGTGACAACACAGACACAAAACAATGACAAAAAGAGGCTAAACCACTTACACTCTGTGTTTTGCTCCTATTAAAGGTGATATGGGCCATTGTCTCATAATCCGCTCATGCAGATAAGCACTTATAATTCATCAGTGTATTTGCAAATGCTGGTTTATTCAAAGGTCAAATTACTATCCTGTCAAAGATACAGACAACATAGTAAGCACATTATGTGGCAATCTTTAATTATTTTAAACATATTTTCACTGGTTTTAAGAATTAAATGAATTCAGGCCAGTCCTTTTATGTGAATGAAATCTCCCAGTGGACAGATTGGATAATTGTAAACCATGAATGCAGCTTGAATGTATGCACTCTTTATGGAGAATCCATCCATTTGCCAGCATATAAAACGACAAAAAAAACATTTACAGAAAGTCAGTGCAGTGACTGGTGCAAAAATGTTCTCGTCATGACATGAGCTGCTGCCTGGACCTGTAGGAAGTAGCTGGCGCAGCAGCCCATAGCGTCGAGTCAACGTTGCATCTGCGAGACAGACAGCAGCTTCTCTGGTCTGCTGCTCCGAGACAGATGAAATGACATAGCGGATGGACGAGCTAACACCACCCTAACACCCGGATCAGATTGTGTCATTGTCTTATTTGTCGTCGGATTGTCGTTTTTCAAAAGCTATTTGCTAAAGCTTGCCAGACGCAGGCCAATCTTCAATGCTCCTAAAGAGCAGCCCGCACATAGATGTCGATCTAACTTGCTGCAAGCTATCGTTAGCTCGCTGCTGCTACCCTCCAGACATTGAAGTGGCCACACAAACATGCGGATCATCGAGGCGGAGACCCCTGGGACATCTCTAACGTTTAACGCTTTCTGCTGGACACGAGTTTCAACCAGCCGCTGACTGGACTCTGCAAAGTCTTTGTGTAAATGCAGCTTTAATATCTTTCCATTTATTCTAAAACATGTGTAAACTCCAATCTGCCAGCCACCATTAGCATCCACGGTGTCGGTTAGCTTAGTTAGCTACTGCTAACTGGCTACAAACAAATAACAAGCTGACAAAATAGTTGACGTTACTATGGGTGTGTGACATAACATGTACAATTGGGCATTCAAGTATCAAGTATATTTAATTAGTGTTATCAACTTGCTAAATATATTTTTATGAATTTAGTCAAAGCGGAATGGTAGACAGCGGTGACAACCTCAGCCATATTTAGGGAGATGCTAGCCTGAGCTAACGGTTCCTAGCGTCATTGTTAGCAGGCGGTTCAACAGCTCAGACAGTTGGCCATGCTCATCACAGCGAAGGAGGACATTTATTGTTAGCCATATCGTCTCTGTTCACTACATCTGCATGCATGCATTCAGGCTGACCCAGTTACTCATGCTAACAATTTGAAAACCAAATAACAACACTGAGTTACTATTTGGTTTCCATGTTATCTCAACAAGCCGGTGTTTTTTATGTAAAGCATTCAGTGTGCCAAGTTAGCCCTTATTCAGTAAGTTACCAACAAAATGCAACGTGTGTTCTTGGACTTAACTTTGCATAATGTTGGCTAAGTTTAGCGAGTAAGTGTTACATTAATGGTTAGCCATTTGACTGAAGAGCCACAATAACGGTTACATGTCACCCTGCAGTCGGTGTCAAATGCCCTACGTGTTTAGCTGAGATAACTGTCAGAGCTTTGCTGGTAGTTCGTTTTTCACAAAGGTCACATTAGCTTATGTTGTTGCCCGGAACTAAGAGCACCGACTTCCCATGCTTATGTCGATATTTTCGACTTTTAGCCATATTAAAACAAACGCATTGCGTATTTTGCTAATGGACATCAACTTTTTAAGGAGTCAGCTAATTGACTTTACGCAAACAAACTGTAAGACTGCATGGAACTGACACACATGGTTGCCCTTATATATATATATATATATAAAATATGTGTGCGTAGAGTGTGATCAGATGGATAGAGCAGCATGTGGCACTAAAGGGCCTACCAGCTGATATTCAGCAACTGTACTTGCATTTATAAATCCGTCCTCTGGACACCTTACATTAATTATTAACCTATCTTCCACATTGTCTCTGAGCTCTCTTTGACACCCCATCTGTTAACCCCACTTCCTCTTTACTTTGCATATAGCAAGACCAGAAAAGCTAGAACTATACATTGACACATATGTTGGACTTTGATAGTGTGCTTTGTCTGTTATTTCTGTAAGTACAGCCAAATGTAAACACAAGGAGTAGCCACCCGTCAGATCAATATGGACTGTTTATTCACTGTCTGATCATGTGTGTGTTTCAGAGAGGGGAAAGAGCAACGGATCTCAAAGACCAGACTACCCCAAAACTCTTTGCCTCTCAGACAGATCACCAGAGACCATGCTGACCATTCTAGCTGCTGGGTCTATGTTCTTTCCAGGCCTTTTCCTACTTTCAAAACAATGTCTAAAGTCAATCCCAGCACTGAGATGGAGCGAAGGAGATGCAGTCATTGTCTCTGCCAGGTGAGACTTCCTTAAACTTTTTTTTTTTTTTACACAATGGGCCCCTCAAAACTTCACTGCAGTGCCATACCAATAGTTTAAAGTTCATGTGCAGGTTTGCTTATTGCAAGACTCGAGTGTGACAGGTTTTTGCAGCTGCATTCGTATGTCAAGACAATTTAGCAGCACATTTTTGCATAAAAGCATAAAGGCTCTACTTTCTGACCATAACTAGACAGTCTAAATCCTTAGCTAATGAACATTATATTATTCATTGTTAACTTGCCATTCTTTGCTCTCAGGTTGGTTTCGTCGGTTCAGGCAGTCATGGCCTCTTCAGCTGGCTACATCATTGCTTCTTCCTGCGAGGACATTCTCGAGGACCAGTGAGTGGAGAAATGCTCATGACAATATATTCCACCCCTCTCAACCAGTCTGTCCTGTCTTTTTAATGCATGTAACAAATCAGCTGTCGGAAAGGTCTATTTCAAAGGCTTTAAAATGTGCCATGCTAGGTATTTGGGTCGTATATCAGCTATGAATGTAAACCAAACATTTAACTTGATGTTGAAGCCTTGACACAAAGCAGTAAATGTCACGTTGTGTGTAAAGGTGAAGTCGCAGTTTTAAGAGCTTTTTATTTTCTCATTAAAACCGCGACACTTGAGGGAAATCTTTCCCTGAACTGTTTGATTCATATATTTTCCTTTTCCTGTTTTAAAACCCGCCTTCTCTTCCTCTCTGCACAGGCATTGGCTGACCAGCTCTTACATCATGTTCGCTGTTCCCTACTTCGTGTTCGACGTCTACGCCATGTTCATGTGCTACTGGTACAAGCTGCGAGTCAAAGGGCACGAGGAGGCCTCGGCAGCGCCCCAGCACATGAGCACAGCCCTGACCAGCTATTTGCGTCGCGAGTTCCTCATGGTGCTGCACCACGTTGTCATGGTCACCGTCTGCTTCCCCGTCTCTGTGGTAACTGTCACACGTTGCTCTTTCTGTTGGCCTGAGATTCGAGTGAGGAAAGGGAGAAATGTACTATTGAATTATCTGTAACTTCAATAGTACTTCTCTCAGGTAACTTTATCATATGTTTAGGGTAGACTGTTAAATGTTTTCTATGTTGAGACAAACTAAAAGAGGCCTTTTGTAGAACATCGTGCTAATTGCCTTAGCATTATTACTGAGGCCTGCAGCCGACTGCTATTTTTATCATTGGTTTATCTGCCGAATCGTGTATTAGTTGTCTTAATTAGGGGTGTGGTGTGTAACACTTCAGAAGGCCTAAAGATGTTGAGTTATGTATACTGTTGAGGCCACGAAAAGCAAAACAAAAACCCCCTTTTGGGAAAATAATGCTGTCATTTCTTTGCTATAGAAACGATGAATCGATCGACCAGTGCAGCTCTAAATCGTAAGATTAGTAGTATCACGAGTAGAGACATTAAGAAGCCCCCTCTGATTATTGAAAAGTACAAATTACATAGAATTGTTTTTGTTTTCCTTGAATCTAGATATCTCTTTACAAAGTGGTATT